CAACATTTTTTCATTTAACTAAATGAGATTGATTTAGTACAAAATGATAAAAATGACGTATTTCAACTAGGCGAAAAAAAAAATAATCAAGTAATTGTTGTGTTATAATGTTGTGAAATTAAAAATTATTTATGTATAATTAAAATATTTAACTCAGCTTTAATGACAGACAAATTTTGTGAAGATTGGGCTGCTGTAAATTTGGAAATTAAATTTAATTTATGTGGCTTATTGAGAAGTTATAGAAACTAACTATACCTTTATAGTACTGTACATGACTATTGTGGCAAGTCAAAAAACAGTTTCTTTTTTCTCAGAAAATGAAACAGTTCGATTTTTAGCTCGACTTTTCTATGAAAAGGGGAGCTATCCTACTCGCCCCGGCGTCGGCGTCGGCGTTGGCGTTGGCGTCGGCGTTGGCGTCACACCTTGGTTAAGTTTTTCGTACCACCCCACTTTATTTCAGAAGTATTACAAGTATGGCTTTGAAACTTACCATACTTGTTCACCATCATAACCTCCATCTACAGACAAGAGTACATAACTCTGTCAAGGTTTTTGACAGAATTATGGCCCTTTTTTGACTTAGAAAGTGTATTGAGCTTGGTTAAGTTTTTTGTACCACTCACTTTATTTCAAAACCATTGGAGGTATTGCTTTGAAACTGACCATACTTGTTTACCATCACGACCTTCATCAACAGACAAGAGGACATAACTCTGTCAAGGTTTTGACAGAATTATGCCCCTTTTTGACTTAGAAAATACATTGAATATGGGTAAAATCCACTTATTGCCTTAACCCTTTGAGATATTGCTTTGAAACTTTTAATGCTATTTCACATCATTACCCCCATCTGTACGCAAGAGAAGGTAACTCTGTCAAGGATTTGTTTTTAAAAATTAAGGCCTTTTATCGACTTAGAATCTTGGTTAAGTTTTTAGTACCAGTCCACTTTTTGACTGAACTGTTTGAGATATTAATTTGAAAGTTGGAATACTTGTTTACAATCATGATTCCCAAACATGTCCAGGAGAAGGTAATTCTGTCAAAGATTTTATTTGAATTATGGCCCTTAACTGTCAATGTTTTGTATTATAGGCAAGCACTAAAAAACTTAAAAAATCTAAAAAAATTCATTCCTATCCACTTGTTCACTTTACCATAAATTATGTCATAATAAAATAATTCTTCACTAAATATCTTAATGCTCATGGCCATTGTTCACTTTAAAAATACAGAGATTCTTGTATTGCCTTTTACTGCAAAAACTTTTTTTATTGGCAAGCAATAAAAAAGTCGAGCGCGCTGTCTTACGGACAGCTCTTGTTTTTGGGAGCTGTTGAAATTTCTAGTTAATTTTTCTTTTCTTTTTTTAGCTCACCTGTCACAAAGTGACAGGGTGAGCTTTTGTGATCGCTTTTCGTCCGGCGTCCGTCCGTCCGTCGTCCGTCCGTAAACTTTTACTTTAAATGACATCTCCTCATAAACCACTTGGCCAATTTCATCCAAACTTCACAGGAATGTTCCTTTGGTGGTCACCTTTAAAAATTGTTCAAAGAATTTAATTCCATGCAGAACTCTGGTTGCCATGGCAACCGATAGAAAAAACTTAAAATATCTTCTTTTAAAAAACCCTAAGAGCTAGAGCTTAGATATTTGGCATGAAACATCTTCTAGTGAGTGTCTACCAAGTTTGTTCAAATAAAAGCCCTGGGGTCAAAATTGGCCCCGCCCCGGGGGGTCATTGATTTTCCCTATATGCATATAGTAAAAACTTAAAAAATCTTCTTTTAAAGAACCCAAAGAGCTAGAGCTAAGATATTTAGCATGAAACATGTTCTAATGGATGTCTACCAAGTTTGTTCAAATAAAAGCCCTGGGGTCAAAATTGGCCCCGCCCCGGGGGGTCATTGATTTTCCCTATATGCATATAGTTAAAACTTAAAAAATCTTCTTTTAAAGAACCCAAAGAGCTAGAGCTAAGATATTTAGCATGAAACATGTTCTAATGGATGTCTACCAAGTTTGTTCAAATAAAAGCCCTGGGGTCAAAATTGGCCCCGCCCCGGGGGGTCATTGATTTTCCCTATATGCATATAGTAAAAACTTTAAAAAATCTTCTTTAAAAGAACCAAAAGAGTTAGAGCTAAGATATTTAGCATGAAACATGTTCTAATAGATGTCTACCAAGTTTGTTCAAATAAAAGCCCTGGGGTCAAAATTGGCCCCGCCCCGGGGGGTCATTGATTTTCCCTATATGCATATAGTTAAAACTTAAAAAATCTTCTTTTAAAGAACCCAAAGAGCTAGAGCTAAGATATTTAGCATGAAACATGTTCTAATGGATGTCTACCAAGTTTGTTCAAATAAAAGCCCTGGGGTCAAAATTGGCCCCGCCCCGGGGGGTCATTGATTTTCCCTATATGCATATAGTAAAAACTTTAAAAAATCTTCTTTAAAAGAACCAAAAGAGTTAGAGCTAAGATATTTAGCATGAAACATGTTCTAATAAGTGTCTACCAAGTTTGTTCAAATAAAAGCCCTGGGGTCAAAATTGGCCCCGCCCCGGGGGGTCATTGATTTTCCCTATATGCATATAGTAAAAACTTAAAAAATCTTCTTTTAAAGAACTCAAAGAGCTATGGCTAAGATATTTAGCATCAAACATGTTCTAATAGGTGTCTACCAAGTTTGTTCAAATAAAAGCCCTGGGGTCAAAATTGGCACCGCCCAGGGGGTCATTGATTTTCCTTATATGTGTATAGCAAAAACTTAAAAAATCTTCTTTGAAAAAACCCAAATAGCTAGAGTTAAGATATTAAGCATGAAACATCTTTTAGTGAGTGTCTACAAAGTTTGTTCAAATAAAAGCCCTGGGGTCAAAATTGGCCCCGCCCCGGGGGTCATTGATTTTCTTTACATGTGTATAGCAAAAACTTAAAATCTTCTTTGAAAAAAACCAAATAGCTAGAGTTAAGATATTAAGCATGAACCATCTTCTAGTAAGTGTCTACAAAGTTTGTTCAAATAAAAGCCCAGGGGTCAAAACTGGCCCAGCCCCAGGGGTGTCATTGTTTTTAACTATATGTGTATAGTAAAAACTTAAAAAAATCTTCTTTTAAAAAGCCCAATGAGCTAGAGCTTAGATGTTTAGCATGAAACATTTTCTTATGGGTGTCTACCAAGTTTGTGCAAATAAAAGCCCTTTGGTTAAATTGACTCTGCAACATTGGGGGGGGGGGGGGGACTATATACAGGTGAGCGACCTCAGGGCCATCATGGCCCTCTTGTTAAATTTCTTTATTTGGAAAACTGTCTTTATATTGGAATTGGAATGAGGTTTTATTTATCAGCCCCTGATAGGGTGAAAATTCCATGTGCATGGACATGGCTGGCTGTTATGAAAACTGTACAGAATATTACCAGTAACGCCAACTTTGGCACCCATCATAAAATCAACTTCCCTTAAAATAACACCTACTTTAAGCACCCATCAAAAATCAACTGCTAAAATAACGCCAGTTTAAGTCACCCATTTAAAAATCAACTTTCCATAAAATAACACCTACTTAAGGCACCCATAAAAAAAATCAACTTTCGTTTAAATAACACCAACTTAATCAACTTTCGTTAAAATGTGCTGTTGTCAACATGATATGAAAATGGTAATTAAGTATGTATTAAGTGAAGCCATTGTTTGTATAGTCAGACTTACTTAGTTACATAGTCTACTTTTATTACATTAACAACTATGCATGCTGGGAGATTTCCTTATCATTATTTATGTGTACTTATCTAACTTTAAGAAAGACATTTGTTTTTCTATATTGATTATAAAAAAACACTGTAACAATTTAATGAAGGTTTCTTTAAGTGCAATTGTTCACTTCAAAGCAATTCAGTATTGTTCTAAACGCAATATTGTTTGATATATTGTCAATGAATTTATATATTGGTGTACATTAAAGTATATAAGGATGTATTTCTTTTGAATAGGATTGAAAAAGCAATATTGCTAGCTCTTAGTTATTGTATAGGCTACAAATGTTCTGAAGTTTGGATGGTAGATTTAATTAGGATGTTGATAGAAATTAATATACGTGTAGGCATACATACTGTGTTGTTTTACTAAAGGAACTCCACTATGGTCCAATGGCCTAAAAGCATAAAATTTGAAAATCTAACATTTAAGATCAACATCAAGTGAAGCAGTTGAAATGGAAAAGTCTGAAAAGGATAATAAAGAAATATATAATTTTTTTTTTTATTCTTACAAATCTGAAGCCTTAGATCCAGATCAGGATAAAAAGAAAGCTTTAAGTTGTCATTACTGTCCTGAAACGTACAGTCATACATACTTCTATAGCTCAGATATCTCTTTTTTGCTAGATTATTACAAGAATAGGGAGAGATATTGTACTCGTTTGCTCAACTATTTGAAGAATAATGAGAGCTATCATACTCCACCGGGTGTTCTATGTCATTGTCACACTTTGGTTAAGTTCTTGCATTCAAGTTGTTGTCTTAAAAAATAATACTTAAAGGAATGGATTAAAACTTCATAGTTTACACTTGTTCTCTGTGATTAGCGAACATGTCTGGCACAGGTTCCATGAGTTCGTCTGAGATTAAGCACCTTATCTTGCTGTCAAGCACTGAGAATAGTTGAACTGGCTGTCTTACAAACTGCTAGAGTTGAACTCTCAAATGCCTCTAATGATGAACAAAAGAGTTTAGTGTAGGAGTATCTTAATGAGGACCTTGTATCTGACTCCGTTCTAGTAAAATCCATAAGGGCCAAATACATGTAATAGTTTGAGTTTTTCCTATAATAACACTTTAATTATATACTTTGTGTCAAATTTAAACAACAAATTTGGCATAAAATGCCAGCAAAAGCATTGTGTATTACACTTGAGGTTACTAATACCTTGAGTATTAACAACTTTTTTGTCTGTTGGTTCTGTTGGTATAAATGTTCATTTTCTGTATTGTAGGCTTTCTTGGATAAACCTGACCCGGGCGTATATAACCCTCAATGTGTGTGGTATGGTGAGTGTGGACCCGGCTATAACCAAGGTAAACTGAACTGTCCGGTAAATAGCACAACAGCTGCACCACAGAAACTGATAGATGCCGATGGATTGCGGATACTGAAAACTTACTGCCCAAACCTGTACCATGGTAAGTCCATATAACATTTTACTTTTACCTTAGTATTATGATTTTCTGCCTCTGCCCCGACCTTAAAGGATAGCTTGTTAAAGACCTTCTCTCATTAGAACCATATTAAGCATACAATAACAGTACTGATTAATTTCAGGATGCAAATCGAGGGGTGATCCAAGAGGGCTTCAAGTTTTAATCACAAGCAAACTTTAATGAATATGTTCAAAGTTATTTGTATTTGAGCCGTGTCATGACAAAACCAACATAGTGCATTTGAGGCCAGCATGGATCCAGACCAGCCTGCGCATCCGTGCAGTCTGATCAGGATCCATGCTGTTCGCTATCAGTTTCTCTACTTGTAATAGGGTTGGTAAGCGAACAGCATGGATCCTGATCAGACTGCGCGGATGCGCAGGCTGGTCTTGATCCATGCTGGTCACAAACCTATTATGTTGGTTTTGTCGTGACGCGGCTCATTTATTGTAATGAATAAATGATGTTAAAAGAGATTACATCAGTGTAAATTTAAAGACTTTTTGTTGAATGTTTGTTACATTTACCACGGCACAGCCTATCTATGTTAATTGGATCCTCATCAGGCTTGCTTAAAATTAAATTGAAGAAATAGAAGTCAGAAATGTCACCTTTATACCTTTCTTAACAGTCAAGATAGAATGAATATATAGTCACTTTTATGCAATAACTGGTTTAGTGCTATTTGATTTCTTGCACTATTAAAGTTGAATATATGTTATAATGTAAACTATAATTCTAAAAATATTCATGTGATTAATGTTCCTTTTCAGGAGACAACAATAGTTATACTTGTTGTTCTGGCGATCAGCTCCGTACATTTGAAAGAAACCTCGCGCTACCTGAACAACTCCTTTCACCATGTCCAGCATGCTACTTCAATTTTCTCGACTCTATCTGTCAAGTAACATGCTCCCCAAAACAGAGTGAATTCATGCAGGCGAATTCAAAGTATCCGAAGCCTGGCCCGTCAGTCGAGGGTATAGTTGGTGTAGATGTTGTCCTCACACCAATATATGCACAGGGTTTGTTCGATTCATGTAAAGATGTTCAGATGCCAAGTGCGAACGATAAGGCATTATCTGTATTTTGCGGTAGACAAGCTAAAGACTGCAGCCCATTTGTTTGGTTAAACTACATGGGTAATACAGGAAATGGGCGCGCACCTTTCACTATAAATTACATCAATAGCAGCACACCATGGCCTTCTCCGGGAGGTCAAACTCTTAAGCCATTCAACGAACAGACCAAACGATGTAACGAGACTGTCACTGGTAGCAATGACAACATTGGTTAGTTAACTGTTGTTCTTCCTTTTTATATGCCCGAAAGAATTTCGGACATATTATGTTATACCCCCTGGCGTCCGTCTGTCTGTCCGTCCGTCAGTCCATCCGTCCGTCCGTCTGTCTGAAAACAGTTTCCGAAGCATAACTTAAGTTCCATTTGGCCCACAGTGTTCAAACTTCATAGGATGATTGTCCATATTGGGTAGAAGACCCCTATTGATTTTGGGGTCACAAGGTCAAAGGTCAAGGTCACTATTACCTTAGAACTGAAAACAGTTTCTGGAGCATAACTTAAGTTCTATTTGGCCCATAGTGTTCAAACTTCATAGGATGATTGGCCATATTCGGTAGAAGACCCCTATTGATTTTGGGGTCACAAGGTCAAAGGTCAAGGTCACTATTACTTAGAAATTGACAACAGTTTCTTGAGCATAACTTAAGTTCCATTTAGCCCACAATATCCAAACTTCATAGGATGATTGTCCATATTGGATAGAAGACCCCTATTGATTTTGGGGTCACAAGGTCAAGGTCACTATTACCTTAAAACTGAAAACAGTTTTTGGAACATTACTTAAGTATCATTTGGCCTACTGTGTTTAAACTTCATAGTATGATTGTCCATATTGGGTAGAAAACCCCTAATGATTTTGGGGTCACAAGGTCAAAGGTTACTTACCTTAGAATTGAAAACAGTTTCTGGGGCATAATTTAAAGTTCCATTTGGACCACAATATTGAAACGTCAAAGGAGGATTGTTATTTGAAGGAGTTAATACTTTATTTTACTCCCATGTCTTACAAATGCTTCATCTTTACTAAAAAAATCACTTTCGGGCATATAATGCTCCGCCTAGCCATGCTCTTCTTTCAAGTTTAACAGCTGTTGCTAGCAGTATATTACTCAGTTACCTTACTTAAGCTACACAGCACTTTTTGATATTATTGAAATATTAATGCATCAATTTTTTTCATTTGAAAATTGAGTAGTTTAGATCATTTAGCTGAAGAAAAGATTTGAACATTCTTTTCAAATGCAGTGCAATATTCTAAACTGTTGTGTGGACTTTTCCCCAGGTTCTAAAAGTATTCTAAGGACTTCAAACGGCATACAGCTATATTCATTTTTGCAGCCTGTGACCTTTATAAGCTGCAGAAGATTATTTGTATCATGATTAGAAATCTAAATAAAAAAATAATTTTTTTTACTTTCTACAAAAGCATATAGTGGCACAGATTAAAACAGAAATAAAGTTGAAATAATTTGTATATAGCATGATTAGATTTAACCCTTGTTAAACCTAATGCAATTGGCCTTCTTTTCCCAACCAAGATAGTTAGTCTGACCAGGCTCTATTGTGTTGGTGCCTCAATTTTTATTTTTTTTTACTTTTCAAACAGGATGAGGTACACATTTACTCTTATATAGAAATCACTCTATTGAATCAGTACAGATTATTCTCAATTGAGGGGAGATAATTGACTGGTAGCTGTTGCTTATTAAATTGTCTTTCATTAATTTTAGGAAAGGCCAAATGTACATGTAAGGACTGTGCTTTAGAGAAGTGTGCCCCTCCTCCAAAACCAGATGCTGAAGGCCGAAAGAAATTCTTTGATTCTGTGTTTGGGTAAGCAGTTTTATTTATATTATTTATTATGGTTAGATTTTTCTTTGCCCTGACACATAAGTCATATGAGGACTTCCCAGATTTCCTGGCAGAAGAAGACCTCAGGTGCCCTTACAGCATTTTTCAGACACATATGAACACATGAGTAAAACCACTGACGTTCCATAAGATAGTTGGATAGCTTCCTCATGTGTAAGAATTCAAAGTCCCTGTCGGGATTAGAAACCACATCGGTGAGGGGCAAGTAGTTTGAATAAACACCCTTAAAACCTAAGCCAGGGATGCCCTTTTAAGCAGTTTTACTCATTCTGTTAGTCACATTACAAGCTGTTTCAACTGTGAGGCATAAATTGATGATAGATTTAGTTACAGCATGGTGATTTTTTGTTGTATTGTATGTTTTTTTTTCAACACCTCTTAAAGGGACTCCACTGGGTTGTTTTTTTTGACATGATGGGACTGAAAATATTTTCCAGGTAAATGGACCATTTGAAGTAGATTTAGACCACTAAACTTTGTGCAAAATTTCAGATCAATGGCGCACTTTGTTTTTCGGGAATAATTATTCAAATTGTAAAAAAATGATACAAAATGAAAGACGTTTAAACGCTTTTCACTCAAAACGGGCTAAGAAAAGCATAAAAATACGATTTTCAATTTATTTCAAAGTATATTTCTTAACTATCTTTGCATATTTATGCCCCCGCCATGTAATGGCCGGGGCATATAGTGTTACCCTGTTCCGTCATTCCGTCCTTCCGTCATTCTGTCATTCCGTCATCATCAGTTTCCGTTCATTATCTTAAGAACTGTTGCACACATTCAACTCAAATTTGACATATGGATATGTCATGAGAAAATACAGGTCAAGTTCGAATTTGGTCATGGTTCGATGATTTTTGGCAGAGTTATGCCCCTTTTACTTTGAAAATAATATGAAATTTCAGTTTCCGTTCATTATCTCCCCAACGGTACAACACATTTAACTCAAACTTGACATATGGATATGTCATGAGAAAATACAGGTCAAGTTCGAATTTGGTCATGGTTCGATGATTTTTGGCAGAGTTATGCCCCTTTTACTTTGAAAATAATATGGAATTTTCAGTTTCCGTTCATTATCTCCCCAACGGTACAACACATTCAACTCAAACTTGACATATGGATATGTCATGAGAAAATACAGGTCAAGTTCGAATTTGGTCGTGGTTCGATGATTTTTGGCAGAGTTATGCCCCTTTTACTTTGAAAATAATATGAAATTTTCAGTTTCCGTTCATTATCTCCCCAAAGGTACAACACATTCAACTCAAACTTGACATATGGATGCGTCAAAGGAATGTGCAGGTCAAGTTCAAATTTGGTCATGGTTCAATGATTATTGTCAGAGTTATGCCCCTTTCACTTTGAAAGTAATATGAAATTTTCATTTTCCGTTTATTATCTCCCCAATGGTGCAACACATTCAATTCAAATTTGACATATGGATATGTTTTTGGAATGCCCAGGTCAAGTTCAAATTTGGTCATGGTTCAATGATTTTTGGCAGAGTAATGCCCCTTTCACTTTGAAAATAATATGAAATTTACAGTTTCTGTTCATTATCTACCCAACAGTGTTACATATTCAACTTAAATTTGACATATGGATATGTCAAACGAATGGGCAGGTCAAGTTGGAATTTGGTCATGGTTTGATGATTTTTTGGCAGAGTTATGTCCCTTTCACTTTGAAAATAATATAGATACATCTTAGGAATAAGCAGTTTAAGTTTGAATTTGGTTGTAGTTCAATGATTTAAGACAAACTTATCTTTCCTGAATGTTGGAAAAATTTTGAACTTTCAGTTTCAGCACTCTTACTTTTAGCCATTATTTTGGCTACAAATATGCAATATGCTATTTTTAAAAGGTTTAGACTGAATAATTTCAGTGCCTTGAACATTGTATGAAAATGGTTTGTGTTAACATTGAAAAGTTTTAAGGGCTTTGAACTTAAAATGAAAAAAATAATTAATGCACCATCTGAAATTTTGGCTGCATGTGGGGGCATCTGTGGCATGATGACACATTTCTAGTTTTCTGTTTAAAGTGCCCCAGCTCATGTATATGACTATATGTTATGTTTTTAGTCTTTGAAACCTCAGTGGAGTCCCTTTAAAGTGACATTTATGCTCATTTTTTTCTCTGTTGAGCTGTAATGAATTAGTTGTATATTTCAAAAGATTTACTATTTTTAATGGCGAGTGAACAATAATTAATAGTCAAAAGTGTTAAGTATAAAATGTAAAAACTGCCTAAAATGTACAATGACTGCCCAACTCTTTATGAAGTGAACATTACCAATAATTTACAAAGGATATTTATAGATATTTTTGTGGGTCGCAAAGATTATTGATTACTTTGGCAATGTTTAGAGCTGTCATTGATTCAGTGCAAAGGATATCAACAATATATTGATATCAAGTAACTAAAATCAACGATACACCGATATATTGATAACATCCTGTACTCACTTGTCTGTCATTCACTTTCATACCTGTTTCAATGATTTCACTCATAAACATGTTCTGTACAGTGTCTTGTCCACTGCATGATTTTTTCCAGACAATATTTTTTGTCACCATTGCTATGAAATAATTCCACTATATAACAAAAGCATAACATTAGATATAAATAACTGCTTCTGTATATATTTTCGGGTGAATTTTATAATTTCTAGACATTTAATTTATAAGTCAAAAGTATCGATTTTTTAAAATGTGTATCGATTATTGATCAGCAAAAAAATATCAACGATACATCGATATTGTCGATATCGATGACAGCTCTAGCAATGTTCAACACTTAAAGAGTCTGACTGTCCCAAGGACTCCAAAAGTTGGCAAGGGATTTCTAAAGTGCAAAGTCAGGTGTCCTGTTGGGACTTTTAATTTTTAAATGGAAAATTATACTAAATGTGGCTGCTTTTCCTTAAGTAGTGGGTTTTCCTTGAGTGGGTGCACGCCAGAGTTAAAATCATAAATGATATTTTGTATGGTTGAAAATGTATTTTGGAAGTTAATATTTATTATTGTGTCGCCTCTACGGAGTAGTGGCGACATATAGGGATCACTTCTCCATCGTCTGTCCGTCCGTCTGTCCGAACATCCTGAAATCTTGTGAACGCAACTCCTCTTAAATCGGATGGCAGATTTTGCTTAAACTTCTAGGGATGAACAACCAAAATGTGTAGCTGGTAGTAAAGGAAGTTTTGCTGCGACCAAATTTAACAGAATTATGCCCCTTCATTGATTTTTTCACTATATACCATTAGAAATTTTGTGAACGCAACTCCTCTTAAACCGGATGGCAGTTTTTGCTTAAACTTCCAGGGATAAACAACCTTAATGTGTAGATGGTAGTAAAGGAAGGAATTTTTGCTGTGACCAAATTTAACAGAATTATGGCCCTTTGTTGATTTTTTCACTTTATACTAAGTAGAAATTTTGTTAACACAACTCCTTTTAAACTGGATGGCAGATTTTGCTTAAACTTCCAGGGATGATCAACCTTAATTTGTAGATGGTAGTAAAGGAAGGAAGTTTGGCTGCGACCAAATTTAACAGAATTATGGCCCTTTGTTGATTTTTTTCACTATTTACCATATAGAAATTTTTTGAACGCAACTCCTCTTAAACCGGATGGCAGATTTTGCTTTAACTTTTAGGGATAAACAACCTTTACGTTTAGATGGTAGTAAAGGAAGGAATTTTTGCTGTGACCAAATTTAACAGAATTATGGCCCTTTGTTGATTTTTTCACTATATACTATGTAGAAATTTTGTGAACGCAACTCCTCTTAAACCGGATGGCAGATTTTGCTTAAATTTCAAGGGATAAAGAACCTTAATGTGTAGATGGTACAAAAGGAAGGAATTTTTGCTGCGACCAAATTTAACAAAATTAGAAAAAATGTAGAAATTTTGTTAACGCAACTCCTCTTAAACCGGATAGCAGATTTTGCTTAAACTTAAAGGGATGAACAACCTTAATGTGTAGATGGTAGTAAAGGAATTGATTCCAAATTTAACAGAATTATGGCCCTTTGTTGATTTATTCACTATATACCATATATATGATGTTGATGGGGGTATCTGTGTCCTTTTGACACAGTTCTAGTTAATCCTGAATTGAATTTTCATATCAGTTGACACACTTCTGATATTTTTGATATATCTTGACCTACAATGAAATGATGGGACAGGTGAGCAATCTAGGGCCATCTTGGCCCTCTTCAAGATTATTTAATTTATTGCAGGAAAGATATGTACCGTCAAGCAGAAATAGTTGTAGAGCGAGCAGACAGTCAGGAGCCCATTAAACATTATGAACCACCGCCCTCTATTCAAGCAATAAACTTCACGTCAATGTATGATAAAGAGTTCATGAAACAGGTAAGTCTAAGAATTGCTGTAGCCTGATTGATTATATACCAGTAAGATTTAGCAGAAAATGAGGCAACTTGTAGATGTAAAAAGGTTTCTAGAGATGGACTGTGATTTTTGGTATACAGTCCAACCCGGTTTATTCGAAGTGCCTGGGACTGAATATTTACTTCGAATAATTGATGGGTTTGAATAATCGAAATCGGAACATTGTGATAGACGAAAACTACTCCACTTAGACCAATCATAGCAAAACTATTGTTTACTACACATTTACTTCCTGCACTCAATTGAGAAAAATAAATATTAAAGAAAAGATGCGTAAAAATTATTGTATTGACATTGAACACATAAATATTGCATTTTATTTTACATTATGTATTGTTTCGTTTCGCACAAAGCCTTGATAATGGCCGTGTTGTCACTACGGTATTTACAGCTAACTCTGGTATCTTAGATTAGGAAAAAGGCTCTCATGTAGCGTTACAATTAACGAAAAAAATATTTTGGATGTTTTGACAAATTTACATATATGGTATGTATGAAAATTATTGCTGTCATCTTCAAGCAATAACAGTCACAAAATCGGACACGGTGCATTGCTTTTCATTTTCGGTAATTAAAGTTGATTTAAGAACATACAAAGAGTTATTATCACGATTGTCTAAATACACACATGACTGTTGATATTTTTCACAAGTCCACCAGTCAGCGCCAGTTAGTCTGGCTTCGAATACTAATTAGGCTGGCTTCAAATAATAGGTGTGAAATTCTTTCATAATTGTTTAATCGGGACCTAAATTTTACTTCGAAAAATAGGAGCTATTCGGATAATGCATTTCGAATATTACGCTCGTATTTATATTGATTTATATATAAATAAAAACAGGACCGCTGATTTACTTTGGATAGTGCCGGGTATTCGAATAAAGGGTTGTGGAATAACCGAGGTCGAACTGTTTTTACAGGGATCGAAAATTCTTTTCAGAGCCACTTGTTCTACAGGACCGGACAAGTGACTTCTAATTTCTACCTGTCCGGCATGCTTTGCTACTCGTCCGGAATTTTGACAAACTTTGCCAATGCAATAGAACCTCGCCGATGCAAGAGACCGCTGATATTTCTCATTATCAATTTGTTTACATAAATTTAACAAACCAAAATTGGAAACAGAGCTTGTGTTTTAGAATATGTATAAGTCACGCACTTTAAAGAGCATTGTCAGGCACATTCCAGTCACTCTCGTATCCAATTAATAATGCTTTAGAGCTTTATACAGTGCCCAAATTAAACATATAACCTAAAACTTAAGCTTTGTTTCCTGCCGGACGAGCATACAATGATTTTGTACTTGTCCTGTATCGATGTCTACTCGTAAATACCAGCAGACAAGTGGATGTTTTGATCCCTGATTAAGCAGAAAATGAGGAATAAGATGTCCCATTACTATGTTCTGTCTCAAACTACTTTTTTTTTCTTATTTTCTAATTGTTCTCATCAGGATGCATGCCACTTTAAAAGCAACTGTTTGATAATATAAAGTTTTAGAAAAGGTAGTTGTATGAAATTGGTTGCAAAACTGTGGGTTTGAATTGTTTTAGATTTATAATAAATTTTTCATGATTATAGATTGTCAAAGTAGGTGAACTAGCTACCAGTATATGTTTGAAATGATTCTTTAAATGTATACATTTGTCTCTGTGGAGGCATGAATATTTTCTGTCTTTACATGTTTTCTAAACTCACAAGTTGCTTGTTTGATCCTTAACAAGGCGTAATTTCTCTTTGACAATTGATCTCGGACATTGAGCCTTATAGTCATTTGTCTCTCACCCCTGATTCAAAATCATGTGGGTTTAGTAGTTGGTTACTTGTAGAGAAATTGGTAATTACTGGTAAGTTATCCTGGAAAGCTGGTTAGATGTACTGAATGCTGAGATAATTGATTAAAAATGTGATGAAATTTGCCTCAAACCAGGTAAATAAACAGACAAATACCTATGATCATTTTAATTTTAGGTCCTTAAGCTTCAACAAGATATATCGAGATTGCAAGCTACAGGACCAACAAAGACTGTAGCTCTTGATGACGTGTGTATCAAGGAAAATGGAACTTGTATAATAGAGAGTCCCCTGCAATACTACCAGAACAGTGAGCCAAACCTTGACAGAATAAAATATGATGAGTTTCATATTTTTGAACTTGACGATTATCTTGACCATTTTCTACAATGTGCAAGGTATTTTGACTATTTCTTAAAGTGAAATTATGCTCATATTTTCATAGTCAAATTGAACTGAATTGACTTTATTTTTCAAAAGATTTACTGTCAAAATGATGTTTGACCAACAGTGGATATTGGAAAATGTTTAGGATTAAATTAAAAATCTGCCTAAAATTTTAACAGACTGCCCCACTCTTATGGATATTTACAAAATTTTGTTTGGAATCTGTGCGTTATTTATTGTTTATACGTACTTAATTATTAAATAAAAAGCAATTATGGCAAAATGAAAACTTATTTTGATCTTCACCCGTTCACTTACTTTATACTTTTGCATGGGCATAATGTCACTTTAACTCTGACTACAGTTTATCTGATTTTAATGGTCAATTAGGGGTCCAAGGTCATTATAAAACAGTGATAAAATTGAGTTCTGATACATGTATATAATGCTCATTATAAGATCTGATTGGTGAGGAAATTTAACACATTACCCCATCTACATACCTGTTCACATGATGGATGCATTTTGTTTTATTTCAGTCCAAGAAAATCTCAGAAATTAGATAAAACAGTTCCTCAATCACTAAAAAAAAACAAATGAAAGAAATATTTTTTCGTAAAATGTTATTGAGTTTTGTATAAATGAAAGGATAAAAATTTGGAATATAATTCTTGTCCCCTTTTAGCTTGACTACACAAAAGAGTTGACTGTTTTATTTGTTGTTCATATAAAGGACATTTAACACTGACTTTTACAGTCATCTCACTACCTTGTTCATAGATAAAGATATCTTCAGAAATACAGGACAGATTTTAACCAACTTTTGCTATTGGTCTACCTTTTGTACTTTTATATCAAGTCTCCCCTCTATTAAAACATATTCCTGTAAGATTCATGACTTTTCCCTTATTTATTTGTATATACTGTACTTCATAATTATGGTGTAAAGGTTAACCAATTTTATGTTTTAACAACTTTGCAGCTATGAGGGTGATAGATCGTCCTCAAACTGGTCCTGTATATCAGTGTTTGGAAACAAGACTTTTCCATATGTCATACTTCAAGGTTACAATGGTAAGTTGTTTTTTTAAAGAAGTTTTATTAGCTCATCAATGATTGTGTATCTCTGTTGACCTGATATGATCAATGGCCATCTGCTTGCCAGTATGTCCAAGTGTAAGAATAGACAAATACATGTAAACACAGACAAGTAGTGAAATACATGTAAACACTGACAAATAGAGAAATACATGTAAACACTGACAAATAGAGAAATACATGTAAACACTGACAAATAGAGAAATACTTGTAAACACTGACAAAAAGAGAAATACATGTAAACACAGACAAGTAGCGAAATACATGTAAACACTGACAAATAGAGAAATACTTGTAAGCACTGACAAATAGCATAATACATGTAAGCATTGACACATACATGTAATCACTGATAAAAACCTGTGACAAATACCTGTAAGCACTGACAGAAATGTCTGACAAATATATGTAAGCACTGATAAATGCATGTAAACACTGACATATAAAATTAAACTATGATAAAGACAATCTTGCGCTGACAAATTTAATGAATCAATGAAATAAATATCTGTTGGACCTGTCTGACTAAAAATGAAATTTTGAATAATCTTAAACTCTGTTAAATACTTGAATATTTTATCTACATGTAAGCACACTTCCACAGTACAGTACTATTTATGCAGTATTTAATTCTGTGTTTTCCAGCAACTACACGAAACTTTGAGAAGGCCAACTCTTTTGTGATTACATTTATCCTCAGAGTCACTCCAGGACAGGATAACATTGATGTGCAGGCCTGGGAAAATGCATTTGTAAAATATATGAAGACCTATCAGAATCCTAACATGACACTTTCTTATTCGCCACAAAATGAGGTGAGTCTATTTTCAATTTTATGTATTTATCTTCCTTCCTTCCTTCCTTCCTCCCTCCCTCCCTCCCTTGTTTGTTCATTTCTGTCCTATCCTTTTCTTTTATTCACTCCCTCCCATTGTAACAATAAATACAGTGTAACTTCCGAATTCCGGAACTTCTGAAATCCGGAAACTTCTAAAAACCGAACAATTTTTTCGGTCCCGATTTTTTCCCTTCTATTTTCTATTAATATAATACTTCTGAATTCCGGAACTTCTAAATTCTGAATTCCGGACGATATTTTCGTAAAATTAGAGTCAAATCAATGCAATTTTACCTCCAAAAACCGGAAATATCCAAAGGTGTGAAATACATTGTAAATCGAGAATGTTTACCCTACAGGAAGATTTAATCTCCCTATCGATTGTTTACTAATTAGCAGTGATCGTGTAATTTGACACATGTTAAAATCACAAACTGTGAAATGGTGTGTTTGAAGTGATACGGTTAATTAAAGTAATTTACGGCGGTCAGTTAATTTGAAGTGTTTATTAGCGGATTAAATGACCATTAGTTGGGACAATGTATGCATCAAACGTCTTTAGGGATTTTATTGCATTTGATGTACTAACTAATTAACTAGCATCAGACAATATGTAAGTTTATGCAATTAACAACATTTCTACAAACTGATAGAAATTCAAAGACATTTGCAGTATTAAATAAAGTGTTAAATATAAATGTTTTCTTTTCCTTCACATCTTTATTTTGATTAAAAGACTTTTTTATATGATATTACAGTAATGGCCACATTTTCCTTGACATTTAGTGGCTTAGTCTTGTCCACATTATCCGAAACCTTTGAATTCCGGAAACCTCTGAAATCCGAACGTTTTGACAAGTCCCATGGGTGCTCGGTTTTCAGAAGTTACACTGTACTTAACTGGTGGGAAAATGTGTAAGGCAGAAAGTAATTTTAATTTTGTAAGTGAATAATTATTTTAAATTTATGATAATTATGAATATTTTCAGGTTACACAACAATTTGATTCGGTTGTACCACCAGAAGATATGTCTGATCCGGGTTACAATGTGATTGATGATGAACCGGAACATGATTCGGGTTACAATGTGATTGATGATGAACCGGAAGAAGAACTTGGAGAGCTTGATGGGGAGTGTGTCTGGTATGGGCAATGTGGTGAAGGCTGGAACCAAGGAGCACTGAACTGCTTTGCTACCAATAAAACCAAAAATTCTCCACTTTTGAATGACACTGAGGGACTTAGAATTCTGAAACGCTACTGTCCTGGATTATACAATGGTAAAACTTTCTACAAAAGTTAACTCTTTGAATCTAAAAATTTGTTAATTTTGATTATGTTTATAAATCAAAGTCACAAAAATTGTTTTAATTGTTTATCAGTTATAGTAATATTCAATGTTGTAATTTTATTTTCCTGCTGAATTTGTTGAATGTACTTGTTCAGTCTTAAATTTTAGAGATGTTTGTTGTTGATTAAAGGGGATATCAGAAATGAAAATAAAAGTTTGTGTCAGCCAACAGAATAGAGCCCCTGCACAAATGCACAGGTTGGCCTGGCTCTATACTGGTTGCAAAGGCTGATCATTTTTGTTTCCAGTAGGTTTAGGGCTAAGATTGATGAATTAATAATTGTTAAGTGGTAAAACAAACAAATGGAATGGAATTATTTTGTACTTGTAGTAAAAATTGAAATTTTGCAGAAACATGAAATGAGCTGTGTCACCACAAAACCAACATAGTGCGTTTGCGACCAGCATGGATCCAGACAAGCCTGCGCATCCGTGCAGTCTGATTAGGATCCATGCTGTTCGCTTACCAACTCTTTTACAAGTAGAGAAACTGATAGCGAACAGCATGGAGCCTGATCAGACTGGGGGGATGTGCAGGCTGGTCTGGATCAATGCTGGTTGCAAACCCATTATGTTGGTTTTGTCGTGACACGGCTCAAATATATATTATTATTTATGTTTTAAATTTATTATACCCCCACCACAAAATGTGGGGGGGGCTATAATGGATTCGCTTTGTCGCGTCGGTCGGTCCGTCCGTCGGTCGGTCCGTCCGTCTCCATTTTCGTGTCCGCTCTATAACTCCTATACCAATTGAAGGATTTTCTTCAAACTTGGCTCAAATGTTCATCTCAACAAGGGGATGTGCAGAACCCATGTTGCCCATGTGTCAGCTCAAGGTCAAGGTCACAATTGAAGGTCAAATATCAAACACTATCAAATATTACACAGTATGTCGTGTCCGCTCTGTAAGTCCTACATTACTTGAAAGATTTTCTTCAAACTTGGCTCAAATGTTCACCTCAACCAGGGGATGTGCAGAACCCATGTCGCTCATGTGTCAGTTCAAGGTCAAGGTCACAATTGAAGGTCAATTATCAAACAATTAAATATTACACAGTATGTCGTGTCCGCTCTGTAAGTCCTACACTACTTGAAAGATTTTCTTCAAACTTGGCTCAAATATTCCCCTCAACAAGGGGATGTGCAGAACCCATGTTGCCCATGTGTCAGCTCAAGGTCAAGGTCACAATTGAAGGTCAAATATCAAACACTATCAAATATTACACAGTATGTCGTGTCCGCTCTGTAAGTCCTACATTACTTGAAAGATTTTCTTCAAACTTGGCTCAAATGTTCACCTCAACCAGGGGATGTGCAGAACCCATGTCGCTCATGTGTCAGTTCAAGGTCAAGGTCACAATTGAAGGTCAATTATCAAACAATTAAATATTACACAGTATGTCGTGTCCGCTCTGTAAGTCCTACACTACTTGAAAGATTTTCTTCAAACTTGGCTCAAATATTCCCCTCAACAAGGGGATGTGCAGAACCCATGTTGCCCATGTGTCAGCTCAAGGTCAAGGTCACAATTGAAGGTCAAATATCAAACAATTAAATATTACACAGTATGTCGTGTCCGCTCTGTAAGTCCTACACTACTTGAAAGATTTTCTTTAAACTTGGCTCAAATGTTCACCTCAACAAGGGGATGTGCAGAACCCATGTTGCCCATGTGCCAGCTCAAGGTCAAGGTCATAATTGAAGGTCAAATATCAAACAATCAAATATTACACAGTATGTTGTGTCCGCTCTGTAAGTCCTACACTAATTGAAAGATTTTCTTCAAACTTGGCTCAAATATTTCCTTCAACAAGGGGATGTGCAGAACCCATGTTGCCCATGTGTCAGCTCAAGGTCAAGGTCACAATTGAAGGTCAAATATCAAACAATCTAATATTTCACATTATGTCATGTCTGCTCTGTAAGTCCAACACTACTTGAAAGATTTTCTTCAATCTTGGCTCAAATGTTCATCTCAACCAGGGGATGTGCAGAACTTATGTCACTCTTTTGCTGGCTTAAGGTCAAGGTCACACTTGAAGGTCAAAACTTGACTTAGAAAATATTCTTAAATTTTAACATTTATTTGAATATTCTAAATATGAAAAAGGTATTTGCTTGATACTTAAAATATTTTTGAAGGGTCACAAATACGATATGCTGTTCAAGTTTCATAACTCTGTATTGCATTTAAACAAAGTTATGCCCCTTTTTAGGTCTTCAAATTTACATACAATCAAATATTAGACAATATGTTGTGTCCGCTCTATAAATCCTATACCAATGGAAGAATTTCCTTCAAACTTTACTCAAATGTTCACCTCAACAAGGTTATGTGCAGAATCCATGTCACCTTTGTACCGGCTAAAGGTCAAGGTCACACTTGAAGGTCAAAAATTGACTTAGAAAATGTTCTTAAATTTTAACATGTACTTGAATAATTCTGAAACTAGCTCAGGCATTTGCTTGAAACTTAAAAGATATATGAGATGTGGCAAATAAGATATGCAGGTCAAGTTTCATTACTCTGTATTGCATTTTGACAAAGTTATCCCCTTTTTAAGTCTTCAAATTTACATACAACCAATACTAGACAATATATTGTGTCTACTCTATAAATTCTATACTGATGGAAGGATTTTCTTCAAACTTTACTCAAATGTTCACCCAAACTGGGCGATGTGCAAAACCCATCTTACCCTTGTGCCAGATTAAGGTCAAGGCCACACTTGAAGGTCAAAAATTGACTTATAAATAAAATGTTTAATGCATTGGGAAAATGAAAGGTTATTTGTAACTGTTGCGAACCGGAACATGATTTGATAATATATATTTATACTATTACCTGTACAATTAGTCTTTTTTTCACCAGAGATAATTTCTTTTTATGTATTTGTGCCATATAAATTATTCCCTTAACCACCTTTCCAAGTGGTCTTCTGTCAAGGACATTGGTGGGGGTATGAATCGCATTCAGCGATAGTTCTAGTTCATCATATTAAATGTTGCCTACTCCTGTTGATATTATTTCCATGTTTTGCTTGAGATGGTGTACCTGTGACTTGCTGAAATTCTCCTATTTTTTATGCCCCCGCCATGTAATGGCCGGGGCATATAGTGTTACCGTGTTCCGTCATTCCGTCCTTCCGTCCTTCTGTCCCTTCCGTCATTCCGTCATTCTGTCATCATCAGTTTCCGTTCATTATCTTAAGAACGGTTGCACACATTCAACTCAAATTTGACATATGGATATATCATGAGAAAATACAGGCCAAGTTTGAATTTGGTCATGGTTCGATGATTTTTGGCAGAGTTATGCCCCTTTTACTTTGAAAATAATATGAAATATCAGTTTCCATTCATTATCTCCCCAACGGTACGACACATTCAACTCAAACTTGACATTTGGATATGTCATGAGAAAACACAGGTCAACTTTGAATTTGGTCATGGTTCGATGATTTTGGCAGAGTTATGCCCCTTTTACTTTGAAAATAATATGAAATTTTCAGTTTCCGTTCATTATCTCCCCAACGGTACAACACATTCAACTCAAACTTGACATATGGATATCTCATGAGAAAATACAGGTCAAGTTCGAATTTGGTCATGGTTTGATGATTTTTGGCAGAGTTATGCCCCTTTTACTTTGAAAATAATATGAAATTTTCAGTTTCCGTTCATTATCTCCCCAAAGGTACAACACATTCAACTCAAACTTGACATACGGATGCCTCAAAGGAATGCGCAGGTCAAGTTCAAATTTGGTCATGGTTCAATGATTTTTGGCAGAGTTATGCCCCTTTCACTTTGAAAGTAATATGAAATTTTCAGTTTCTGTTCATTATTTACCCAACAGTGTTACATATTCAACTTAAATTTGACATATAGATATGTCAAAGGAATGGGCAGGTCAAGTTGGAATTTGGTCATGGTTTGATGATTTTTTGGCAGAGTTATGTCCCTTTCACTTTGAAAATAATATAGATACATCTTAGGAATAAGCAGTTTAAGTTTGAATTTGGTTGTGGTTCAATGATTTTAGACAAACTTATCTTTCCTGAATGTTGGAAAAATTTTGAACTTTCAGTTTCAGCACTCGTACTTTTAGCCATTACAGTATTTTGGCTACAAATATGCAATATGCTAAGACTGAATAATTTCAGTGCCTTGAACAGTGTATGAAAATGGTTTGTGTTAACATTGAAAAGTTTTAAGGGCTTTGAACTTAAAATGAAAAAAAAAATTAATGCACCATCTGAAATTTTGGCTGCATGCGGGGGCATCCGTGGCATGATGACACATTTCTAGTTTTTTCTCTTTTCAAATTTTACTTATTAGTTGTAGTTACAAGATAAATTCTGTGATTACAATTTACCTTAGTCCTACAGATTTTTTTGTGAATGGACTTATCTGTTTTTGGATTAGTCCATTAGGTGTGAGTCATCGTGTTAGGGTTTTTACAACTGTCATGAGAATTTTCAAAATTTACCCCCACTGTTTGTAAAGCTGCGTTTTACACCATGAAATCTATTGTAGTGTAGGCTCAACTTTTCTTGCAGTTTCTGTGAAAGTTTATTTACATGCGTTGTTGTTGTTTTTGATAATTTATTTTATGCTTTTCAGTGGATTACTGATTTATCCGTGAAAATTATATTTGGTAATTTCACAGTGAAAATTATCAAAATATAATTTCACTTTTTTCAATGACGAAACTACTTTTTTAAGATTTTCCCCATGTGGTACCTCAATTTTATTTTTGTTGACAATTCTGACAATGTCAGGCTGTTAAAAGAAAAAGCAAGGCTGAAATTGATAAATACCTTAAACGTCAAAAGTAATAAAAAGAAGAAAACTTACTTCTATTCATTCAAATTCCAATCACCAAATTTCGTCTCTAAATTTTTTGTTTCATTTTTACAGTCTGAAAAATACATTCCTTCCACATGCAAACTGCTCTTGATGACATTTGGGCATATTAAAGTATCCTACGAGTAATAACTGCCTTATGCTTTATGAAAAATTGAAAAGCAATGACAGCTACAGCTCGTAGAACAATTAAACCACCCAGCGTTCCGAGCAAGTTCCAAGTCTTCCATTTTCATAGCTGCTTTTTTCATGTTTTCACATCTGTCAACACTTATTTTTTGTCTGTTTCAATCCTCAAATATGTTTTCTTTCTTTTAAAAAGGTGTATGACTAACAATTCCAAATGATATCCCTCTGAATCAAACACAATTATTTTCCTCCCCTGACAACTTTAAAAAATGGCTGCCGTTTACATTTAACAAAGCCAGGTCTAATATAAATTCGCAGTAAGTAACAGAAATATGGATGGATGGTTGGAATTTTCTCCTACACGAATTGTTTGTTTTTATTATTAAAACAAGCGATCATTCATATTTTTTAAACAAAATAATTAATATCACTGTCATTTAATGTTGATTGTTGGACTTATTTTTCAGCTCAAGACTTCTTGTTTTTAATGAGAAATTCGCACGAAATGGGGCTCTCAATGGGGAAACAGATTTTAATATTTATGTTAATATTATGGAAATTTCGTTTAAACTTGTTTTTTAGCATAAGATAAAAAGAAAATTTGTTTGTTTGTTGTGTAAGATGTAATTTTATTTCATCTCGTGAACTTTAAAAACAGTATTCTCACTCGTGGCTACGCCACTCGTGAGAATACTGTTTTTAAAGCCCACTCGATGAAATAAAATTTCATCTTACACACAAACAAACAAATATCCTCTATATCTTACATTGTTGACCATGTAATGAAACGTAACTCCTGCTACTTGTACTATTTTGAACTATTCTTTTCATACCAGGTGACAAAAACACTCGAACCTGTTGCGATACCGCTCAATTAAAAACCATGGAAGAAAATCTTGCTCTGCCAGATCAGTTACTACAACGGTGTCCAGCGTGTTACAGTAACTTCCTCAATGAAATATGTCAAATGACCTGTAGTCCAGTCCAGAGCCGGTTCATTTATGCAAATATTGACGCTAAGTGCCCTAACGGTAGGTTATTGGTTTGACTGTTTGTAATGATCATCAGGCCTACTGTGGGCCAAACAATATTTCATCAAACGATGTCAGTACTGGTTAGTTTCAGTAAGCAGACTGGAGCATGGATGTAGCTTTTATTTGTAAAATTATGTGACATTTAAATGAATGTTTTAAAGTTGAATGTCTCATGATGAGTCAAACTATCTTATGAAAACATAACTTGAGAAAAATGAACTTAGATTAATTCATATTTAATTCTCTAAATACCAGAAAAAATATTTAAACTTTATGTCAAAAAACACTTCACATGGTAATATTGCTACCTTTTTTGACTGTAAAAATGATTTGTTTTATTTAACAGGTTCAGCCGGTCCTTGTGATGGTATCCCTTCAATTAATTACGTGATGACAAATAAATACGCCAACACATTATATGATTCCTGTAAAGATGTTCAGATGCCCAGTGCAAATGACAAAGCTATGTCTGTGTTTTGTGGACGAAATGCCAGAGACTGCAGTCCTAAGATTTGGCTTTCGTACATGGGAAATACAGGAAACGGGAGAGCTCCATTTCCAATCACTTACAATTACACAGACACCTCAATGGTGAATCCATTCACTAATGAAACTATGTATCCCCTGAACTACACAAATTTACAATGCAACTTAACATATTCTAATACAACTGATAAATGCTCATGTCAGGACTGCCAGTCAAGCTGTGCTGCTGTTCCACCACCACCTGCGCAGAAAAAGCCATTCACGATTATTGGTATCGATGGATCTTCCTTCATCGTGGCATGTGTATTTATAGCTTTTGTGATTTTCTTTGGGACATATGTTATCTGCTTTAACATTATTAAGAAGGACTCACTTAATATTGGCAACAGGGACAATTGCAGTTTTGAGAACATTTCCACTGCCGGAAGTCAGCAAAATCTTATAAACCGCCAAATATCCCCAGCGGAAATAGGCACTCTAGAAAAACTAGGATTACGTGTTGAAGAGATTTTGACAGCAGGCTTTACATCATGGGGTAGATTATGTGCCAGAAATCCACTGATTGTTTTACTTGTGACAATCATTATATTTGGTTCACTTGCGGGAGGAATCGCCAGGTATAACGTAACCACTGATCCTGTCAAATTGTGGTCTTCGCCAGAAAGCACTGCAAGGACAGAGAAAGCATACTTTGATCAACATTTTGGGTAAGATAATCTCAGAGGCTATTGTAACAGTACAGAACATTATTGAACAACCTTTGTATTCTTTTATCAGCACCAGTGGCCCCCATCCTCTATTCTTTGTTATGTTGAAGAGATAGTGAGAATCTTGTTTGCTAACATTAATAATAATTACGATATTAAAGATAATAAGAACAGCAACAAGAATAACAACTTGCAGTAGACTTCATATGATTTTGTTGTTGTTTCAGACCGTTTTACCGAACCGAACAGTTAATCATTACACGACCAGACAAGACAAAGATCGTACATCCATATCCTCCACCTTCCATCAATTCGATTACCTTCAGCTCCATGTTTGAAAAAGAATTTATGCATCAGGTAAGTCATTTGACATATCTTTTCAATCTTATACAGGGATCCAAAAAAAAGCATCTTGTCCTGTACAATGAATAGTTGCACTTGAGAAGGCTTCATTCTTAGCTTGACAACCAAAGATTAGGGAGAGATATTGTACTTAATTAGACGTCAGTGTTGGTCTCACTGTTGACTTCACACTTTCGTTAAGTTTTTACATGCAAGTTTCTATGTCCAAAACTACTGATGGGAATGAGTTGAAACTTCACACACTTGTTCTCTAACATGATGGGCCCAGGACCTATAACCTATAACCGAGTTACCTTTTTTCATGTTCTATCAACGGTAAATTCAAACTTGCTTTTCACGATTGTTAATTGGAAGACTGTTTTAAAAAGGCAGATAAATATAAAATTATATTTTTTCAGTTATAATGCCCCATTTTCAACTTAGACTTTTAGCTCTAGTTGAAGTTTTTTTTTGTTTGTTTTTTTTTGTCAGTAACATCAAACTATTTCAGATCAAACTTGATTTACATGTTCACTATCAAAATTTGGCACCATTTCAGACTGGAAATATTTGTTGACTATCAAGGGCAGGTAAGTCGGATAAACATGTCTGATTATCATGTCTGCAGAGTTATGCCCCCTTTTCTATGTTGCTTTCATTTTGCTATCCAGCACTGATAAAAGTGGAGTACATTGTCTGAGGACAGGTGTTGTTTAAATTTTATGTTGAAACAGAAACATGCTGTCCTTATATATTAAAATAACTAATCAACAACCTACTGAAAGGTAAAGTGATTACCATCATGGGCCTGTGCCACCACTGACCAGTATAGAGCTTGGCCAGCTTGCTTATCTGTGTGGTCTGACAAGGCTCGATACTGATAAGTAGCTCTTTCTATTTTATTGTATTTTGATATTGAAATTTAAATGGGTTGTTCAGAATTTCAAGACTCTGTGTGTATTATTGCAGGTTCTAGACCTTCAGACACAAGTGGAGGAGCTCACTGCAAAGTTTGATAACGAGACGGTGACACTGGAAGATATCTGTTTTAAACCTCTCAGTCCGGACAACAATAACTGTACCATTGAAAGCGTCTTACAGTTCTGGCAGAATAACCGCACAAATCTCGACAAAGAGGTCTGGGATGAGTATCATATATATGATCTGGCTGATCATTTTGACCACTTCCTGAAATGTGCACAGTACGTTTTTACATAACTTTATGACATACCGTACCACTTACGCTGTAATTTTAGATTTTTGTTACTTCTTGTATTGATATATTTTGTCTCCTGTTAAAAGTGAAGTTTAACAAGGCTATTGCCCAATATAACAGGTTATGTAAGGGATGACAGTACTTGTGAACATTAACAAGGCTTCAATCTTTTTGATCAGCATAAAGTTAGCCAGAAGTGATTTGCCTTCTTCAACCAGTTTTTATTGTTTCTGTGTAGGTTCATTTCTTTAAAGATTAGCATTATGTGTTTAGCAAGGCTATCACCCAATATGACAGGTTATGTAAGAGATAACAGTACGTGTGAACCTTTACAAAGCTTCAATCTTATTGATGTGCATAAAGTTAATCAAAAGGTGTTTGCCTTTTTCCACCAGTTTTTTGTCAGGCCATTTGTGAAGTTTGACTGCCACCAGTATTGAGCCAGGTCAGGCCGCACATTTGTGTGGTCTGATCTTACACTATACTGGTTGCTGCTCAATATATAAATTTTGTAACAAGCTTTGTAATGCCATAAATGGACTATTCCATATTAATAGTATAGGGTAAGTTCATTACAAAAATGCAACTGAATATTTATGGTTTAAAACATGGTAACAACAACTTAAGAAGTATTATGAAGAGGTAGTAAAATGAAATAAATATGTTGTTTGAATCATAAAAAAATGTATCAGTAATAAGTGACCTAAGTTTAAACTTGTTACACAACCATGACCTCATAGTTATATCTTATATCAGTAATTTTATCAAATGAACCTAGCTCACACAACGTAGCCAGTGGACAGTTTTTCAAAAATATTTTGTCACTGGACCTTAATGTACTTGTTAACTTTAGCCACTTGGATGTTAGATGTAAATATTGGTAATTTTGGTAAAAAGCTACACATGTTTATTTTAATATATTTTGGTTAGAATTTAAAACTGTCATAATGTTTATAAAAAAACATTATGTCCTGAAATCATCATGTCTTTAATATGTAATGTCCTAAAAAAATGTGTCCTAAAAAATATTAAGTCCTTAAATTTAAAGGTAAGGTCCTAAAAACGTAACATCTTTAAACATAATGACCTAAAACCATAAAGTCCTAAAACATGTTTTTATCACATAAACCCTGGCGCAGGAGTGTAATAAAGCCATTTAATAAAAACGATATTACACTAGTGTAATAACACTTTGACGTGACGTCATTTGCCCTATATAGAAACATAGCGTTAAAGCGCGCTAATGTTAGTGTTACACTATATAGGCGCGTCATTGAAAAATTACTCATTTTAACAGTTTACTGTTCTTATTTTATATATGTGATAAATAGAATATTATATTCGTGCAGATTTAATACTAAATTTATTGAACTCGTTGAATAAAACAATATTATGCTCGCCAGAGGCTCGCATAATATGATTTTATTCAACTCGTTCAATAAATTTAGTATTAAACTACACTCATTCAATATCCTCTATTTAAAACATAACATCCTAGAACATTGATTGAGAGCAAGGGTCATAACTCTTATCTACATTGAGTTTAAAACATACATGTATTTATGCAAGTTTGATTATGATAAGTATTTGAATGAATCCTGTATTTTGATATTGAAATCCCTTTTGCTTTTAATGAACTGCTCCAAATTGAAATGTTTTTCCCTATAATATGTACATGTAGTAACGCCTTTAATTAACGAGGCTTACACATTTCCCGATTTTCCATGTGGACGTTAGCTGATGTACACAACATAATTACACTGTATAAACAATTAACATGTACACAACATATAAGCAGCATATATACACAAATGTCATATTGAAAAAGATCAATTAAATTGAATTAAATTGAAATAATGAGTAATTAGCAAGAAAATGGTAAGATTGTACAGTAGAGAAAAAGTTCATTATGTACATGTAGGCACAGTAGCATACCACACTGTGTAATAAACTGTTACAATAAATACACATGAAGCCTTACACAATGAAAATTCAAATGATATTTTTTTCTGGATACCATTATGTAAAATTTTTTTTTAAAAATGATAAAATATTTACAGGTCTCCAACATCAGTGTCGGACAATACTCGACTAAATATGCCCTGTCTTGCTGTATATGGAGGACCAGCGTTCCCTTGGGTTGTTCTAGGAGGCTATGATGGTAAGTTGTCTATGTTATCATAATGACATGTCTTTGGCCCTTTTATAGAGCTTGGCCAGTCTTCAAATAAAAAAGTATTTGAACCAAATTCTATTGTTTTTGTCAGGATGGGTTTGAAATTTTGAATCTCTTGAGGAACTTCCATATGAGCACTTATCCAGCTAGCTTGTGGCTCTACTTACTTGTGTCTTTGTGTCTGATAAGATACAGACAGAGGCAAACGAAATCTCCCTCCCCTCATTAAGCTGGCAAATTGCCAAATGACCTCAAAAGTGAATGTGTGACTTGAATTTGAATTTTGATATTGCAATTGTTTAAGCTTACATGAATAAGTCAAATATTCAGCATACTATTATTGAAGAAATCAAATTGAAAACATGTTTTTGTAAGAAGCTAAGCCCATTTTGAGTTAAAAGTATTTTAACACTTTTCAGTTTTGGGAAATATTTCACAATCTCACAGAGTTGAGTGAAACTTTGTGCACAAGTTATTGGTCCTAACCTTCATCAAATTGTACATGAATCTCGTATAAGAATATTTCCTGTTCTGTCAATAAAAACCTCAGTAGAGTCCCTGGTTGCTATTATATCATGTAATTTATATAACCTGATACGTCTCTATTGTTTGTACAGAAAAAAATTACCAGAATGCAACAGCGTTTGTGATAACTTTTGTCGTAAATAATCATGTAAACAAGGAGGACAACAGAAAGGCGGAGGCATGGGAGGCGGAGTTTATAAAGTTTATCAAAAGTTACAAAAATCCAAACATGACAATATCTTTCTCCTCAGAGGTAAGGCTTCATAAATTTATTGTGTTATATAGAGCTGTAACAACATTCTTACAATTGTTTTTATAAAGAAATCAACATATAGTAATGAATTTGAAAGTAAAATTTCATGAATTTTATAAATATAGTAATGAATTTGAAAGTAAAATTTCATGAATTTTATAAATATAGTAATGAATTTGAAAGTAAAATTTCATGAATTTTATAAATATAGTAATGAATTTGAAAGTAAAATTTCATGAATTTTATAAATATAGTAATGAATTTGAAAGTAAAATTTCATGAATTTTATAAATATAGTAATGAATTTGAAAGTAAAAATTTGTGAATTTTATAAATATAGTAATGAATTTGAAAGTAAAATTTTGTGAATTTTATTGTTGTAGTCATGAATTTGAAAGTAAAACTTCATAGAATGAGTTTCATCTAATGACTGGTTTAATTTTTATTCCAGCGATCAATTGAGGATGAGCTAGACCGTGAAAGCCGATCAGACGTATGGACGATTGTTCTCAGTTACTTGATCATGTTTGGGTATATAACTATAGCGCTCGGGCAATTCCATGGCTTAGATACAATTTTGGTATAAATTTTATATTTATTTAAACCAATCAAATTGCACTCCTTTGTTTTGTTAGTTACCGGTAATACCCTTTAATAAGTTTTTGAGTTTTTGTCAAAAGTTCAAGATACAGCAGTGCAAAGAATCTTAATTTAAATGTGAAGCTTTATAGTAATGATATGAGTGTAGTGCTCCATTGTGGACCATATTTTACAATGGCATCAAATGATGGATTTTTTTTTCGAGTCAGTGGCTTGGGAACAATCGTAAGTCAGAATCCAGAAGTTTGAAACTCACACCGTGTGTAATCTATTAGAATGCATTGGAATCTTATGTACATAGCTGTAAAATAATCGATTTATATACATTTGAACATCAGTCTGTGTAATATTACATCAATATTCGCTCAAAGATGAGATCTATTTACATTCTAATACATTTATTAATCAGAATGAGTAAGAAAACACCTTATCAAGACATTTCTCCGCTAAATGTAGTTCTAAATATTTCATCACTTCTATTTCTGTTAGCAAGTTGTTTTCATTGTAGTATTATAATTCATGGTTATCATTCAAATGTCTTGTAATTAATTACTCATGCCTTACAACCTTTGTGATTATATCCCTGCACATTTGAATTTGAATGTTACATTATTCTAGAACAATGCACTCAAAATTGATACCTTTTTTTTAAGTATTTAATTTATTAACTTGACAATGCATTATTTTACAGATTGATTCAAAAGTCACATTAGGACTAAGTGGTGTAACAATTGTTTTGTTATCAGTGGCATCGTCAGTTGGTTTCTATAGTTACTGTGGCGTCCCAATGACCTTGATCATCATTGAGGTCGTACCTTTCCTGGTACTGGCAGTTGGTGTAGATAATATATTTATTCTCGTGCAAACATATCAGGTATGTGGTATTATGTAAAGTGGTTTAAATGCAGGACCGAAATCTGTTCATTGTGAATTTAACTCTTAACCAGGGTATAATCCTGTATCACCAGTATAGAGCCAGACCAGCCTGGATATCTGTGTAGTCAGACCAGGCTCTATACTGTTGGCTGACCTAACTGTAAATTTTCATCTTGATATCCCAAAATTATTAATGGAAAATCCCATGAATTGAAGATGGGGGTCTCAGTTTATAAAATTGATAATGGCTCACATGAATGAAATCTTGGCAAGTCATTTTAAGATGTAGTAGTAAATTTATCCCAGCTACATTTGTTTATTACACTAGGCTCTTAACAATTTAGATCTGATAATGACTTTGAATGGTATATAGCATTAATATAGGCTTATCTGAACTATGTATAGTCTAGACCCTATGTATCTATATATTTTTTTAGAGAGACACACGAAAGACAGGGGAAACATTAGAGGACCAAGTTGGACGGGTTCTCGGTATAGTAGGACCCAGCATGCTTCTTACCAGTTTCTCCGAATCCATAGCTTTTTTCCTTGGTAAGATAACCAATTTCTTTGAAATAATTTGATATCTTTGTGTATTAGATCTTCATTATGGAGTATTGAAATATAAAATTGATCTGTAAATGACCTTGTCCTTCAGTCTCAAAAAATATCTTTTATATACTACTAAAATCAAAAAATTTCACCACAACTTTGTTATTTATCATTACCAGATCTGTTAAAGTGGCAATTTTTGTTTTATAGGCACATAATGTCGTGATTTTTGCACTGTTTTCAGACAGATTTCTCACATTTTCTGATATATTATAACAGGTGCATGGACAGATATGCCGGCTGTGAGAGAATTTGCCCTGTATGCTGCAATGGCCGTCTTCTTTGACTTTGTTCTACAAATCACATGTTTTGTCAGCCTAATGACAATAGATGCTAAAAGACAAGAGGTGAGAAATGAAAATGTTTATATACTTTTCTGTCATTTATATACTTTTCTACAGTTATATAAGCTCTTTTTTGGAATATTTTTATCCAAGGGGCGTAATTGGCCAAGTGGTTAAGGTCATTGACTTCAAACCACTTGCCTCTCACCGCTGTAGGTTAGAGCTGTGCAAGCATGGTTGGATTCTTCCATGTTAGAAAGCTATCCAACTAGCTTATGGAATGTTGGTGGTTTTACTCAGGTGCCCATTTGTGCTAGAAAAAACCATAAAAACAGTTTCTGTCTTGTGATTCGTCTAGTTTGTTAGAATGACAAATTTGCCCTGATTACAACATGGAACTGTCGGTTGTAATTTTAAAAGGTTGGAATGTCAAAATAGTTAAATTTTCATCCAAAGTTTTAATGATTAGACTATGTATAAACTAGGATTTCTTGTTAAACCAGTACATGTATATGTTTTCAATCGTAAACATTTATTCTCTTATACACACAAGTTTATCTGATAGAGTGGATAATTTTAGCTTGGTGGATTAGAAAAAAAAGTTGAGCTATTTTGATTGTTGTGTCGTAATTGTTACTGGTACAAAAATTTTATTGTACAATTTTAGGCCAACCTTTTGATATATGTTGTCATTTGGTTACAAAAGCTTTATTTTACAATTTCAGGCAAACCATTTTGATATATGTTGTTGTATTAAAATACCAAAGAAGGAAAAACAAGAAAAACAGGAGGGATATCTTTATTGGCTTGTCAATAATTACTACTCTCATGCTATCCTTACTGAATGGGTTCGACCTATTGTTGTAAGTAGCAAATTTAATTAATGATGATGATAATAAAACTTTATTTTGTGTAGACAATACGATTTGTGTAATTTTGTTTGAATGACCTGATAAGTAATAAATAATGAATGTTAAGATAAAAGAATTTTTTTTTTTAAATCTCATTGGCTGTGATTTGGTACATTAATTCTGTATATACTGTAAGGTATTTTTCCCCAAAAAGTTCTTTGCTTTATTTTTTCATCAAGATTCATATTTCTTAGTCATTTTGTCGAACAGTAGTGTGATGATGATTAAAATTTGAATTAATCTTACTGTACTCAATACCTCATCTTTCTCATTTTTTGAATGCTTAAAATGTTACTAATCGGTATTGCATGACGTTTAGAAAAAAGTGGGTTCAAGATTATGTTAATGAAAATTCAACATACCGTAAAATTCCTAATAAATGCCCCTTCCCTAATAAAGGCCCCCAGGCCTTCTGATAAGAAAAACAATCTACTCATCAGTGCTGAACTCATGAGTAAATCCATAATTTCATTCAAATCATTCAGAATCCATTTTATTTTATAATATGAACTTTAAAATTTGAACACTTTTTAATGTTATTACCAACATTTGCTAACACTTAATGTATTTACAATGATTTTTGGATTTAGGAAAAACTGTGTTGTAATAATATCTCCCCTTTTGGAAAATGTTAAGCCCCCAGGGGCGTTTAATAGGAATTTTACGGTAATTTTAAAGATGGCATTTTTTTTGTAACTCTGAAATGTGTTTCTGTATTTCAGATTGTTATATTTGTTGGATGGTTTTTAGCAAGTGTAGCGTTTGCCTGTCATTTGACTATAGGATTAGACCAAGCTCTTTCCATGCCTACAGTAAGTTTTAGTGAAGAAATAAACTCTTCACTACTATCTGATTTTATCATTTTAGTATTATGTATTAACCTTTTCCCTTATATAAGCAAGTTTCGGCGGCTTTTTGCCCCCCCTTTTTTTGAGGCCTCAAACAGTGAAAAAATGCCCTATTTAGGCCCCAAACACTGTCTTTTGTTTGAGAAATGTTGTTAAAAAAAGTGACCAATTTTTTGGCGCCGTCTCCCATCCAAAAATTACATCAGAGGGTTGCCAGAAGGGGGATGTGCCCCCTTCTGTTTGGGGGTTTGAAGGGGGGCGGAGTCCCCCTCATCGCCAAGAAAATTTTGGACTTGTGAGAGGCTTAAAATGACCCCAGGTTGATCATACGCTGAAAAGCCTTGACTCTATCTCAATCCCTTGAGAAGTTGCAGCACTTTGAAATAAATTTTGATGGAAAAAATCGAGGCAAAAAAGTGATTTTTGGTAATTTTGAGATGTCCCCTTGTTGCCATGGTAACAGGAAATTTAAGACTGAGCATGTCGTTACAAAGGCAATGGTCCAGTCAACATTTGTGCCAAGTTTGATTAGTATTGAAGCATTTTTCATAGTTTCATAGCAGTTTGAACTTGTAACAGGAGGCTTTTCAGTGAAAATGGCCATTTTTCACAATATGCTCATGGGGAAAAGGGTTAACTTAATGCCAAACTTTCTTGCCAAATTGTAAAAAAAGGGTAAGTGATGTAGCGCCACTTTGCTGTACTGTAGAATAGTGTTAAAATGATGCATGTATGAACTTATGTATTACATTTTACATGTACTATGAATGGTGTTGATGTAAGAAAACAAAAAATATGTAAGACTTTGACACAATGATTTGAGCCTCGTCATGACAAAACAAACATAATGGGTTTGTGACCAGCATGGATCCAGACCAGCCTGCGCTTCCATGCAGTCTGATCAGGATCCATGCTGTTCGCTTACAAACTCTTTAACAAGTAGAGAAACTGACAGCATTATGTTGGTTTTGTTGTGACGCGGCTCATTTATCTTAAATTTTAAGACAAGTTGATTCAAGAGGTACTGCTCTAACACTGTAGTGAGTTTAATCCATTTTATAATACTGCACGTTTATAATGATGCTTTTCATTGGATAATCGTGACATTTATATAGTTTTATATAAACGACTGCTGTCAATTTATGAAGAAATTTCACTTTTGTCTGAAAAAAGATGCTTGCTGTATTATAAATTTGTTATAAATATTTCTGACAGTTTATTTCGCCGTGCTGCTCGGGTCATATTTCTAAACAGCCGTTTATATACATTGTATTTATAACTAATAATATAAAGGAAAGTTGGCCCAAACTTCCTCTTAAAAAAGAAGAAAAAAGGAGTGTACTTGTGCAGAAGGAGAAACATTTGTCCAATACAAGCCCACCCATTGTATGTTTGAATGATATTTATACTGTAATTTCAACTTACTGCTGCCAAAATATATCAAACAAATAATATGTTGTTTTTTTTATTATTTCAGGATTCATATGTATTGGATTATTTTCATAACCTGTCAGCTTACCTGTCTGTAGGTGCACCAGTGTATTTTGTAGTTCCTGCAGGGCATAATTATTTGAGTAAAAGTGGTCAAAATGCACTATGTGGAGGAAAGGGCTGTCCACAAGATTCATTGATTGGTCAATTATTTAGACAGTCTCAGTTAGCTAATTAGTAAGTAAAGAAATTTGCTTTTATATAAACCATATTGTTTCAATGGCTATAGCATAATACAACATTATTGCAATGGTTGCACATTTTAGCTTCCGTAGATTTGATATTAATGTTCCAATTTGGGTGTTGCCCAACATTGAAGTATATGCATGGCATAATATACGTCATGTGATCAAGGTCATGGACAAATTTTGGACACGGCTATGGTCTGTTAAAAAATGTGTTTCTGTACAAATATGACCTCACCAAATGCTAACTTTTCTGTCTGATAATAATATTAAAGTGACAATTGGCATTTTGCCAGATTTTCTATAAAGAGAACATTTTTCTTTCAATTTTTAGCAGCATAGCCCCAAAAAATGTCTTACTTTTATATGATTTTACAAACTTAAGTAAGAATCATGGAATTATTACTTTTTTTCTAGAACAGTCTTGTTTGGTTGGTTGCTATTTATAGTTTTTCACATTATTTCTATTTATAGCTCAACTATTGCACAACCAGCCTCATCTTGGATTGATGACTATTTTGATTGGATAAACTCAGCAGGGAATCCTCCATGTTGTAGATTATATGACAATGGCACATTCTGTCCAGCCACTTGTAAGTACACTAAAATTGGTTATATGAAAAAAAATATGCACCTTTAATAAGTGACTTCTAAATATTGTCAGTTGGGCTAGCTTGTCTTACCAATCTTCCTTCTTCCATTGGTGTATTAACTTTATACTGTAACGAGTCTTGAGTGAGTGTGACAAACTTCAAAATAACAATAGAGGTTTTATGCACCTTTTCAAATAAATCAAACAATTGATATAACTCAACCTGTGGATTTCCTCACTTTTCTTGCATAAAATGTTAAAAGTCATACTTCAATCAGTTATTTTAACAAGGCACCCTTATCATGCATTTAAAAAAGCATGCAATTATATGGCACTTCCTCACTAGATTTTATCCTTTAATGCAAGTTTTCTCTAATATAAGAGAAGACCATATTCATTGTAATCTTGACTTTGATTTCAGCTCCTGACAATTGCACGGCATGCCCGTTCCAGCCGCAGGTGGGAGGCAGACCGTCGTCACATGACTTCATGCATTATTTACCAATGTTCCTCGTAGATAACCCAGGTCTGAAATGTGCAAAAGGGTGAGTAGTGTTATTACCTTGATCACCTGGCTTAAATTGAATTTTAGATTGTATATAAGTAGTTTAGTGATTCAGAAACATAAAGTCAGAAGAAAGTAATAGATTCTAGTCAGACTGCACCAAGTTTCTTTAAGTTGTTGATGTTGCTGACTTCAAAAAACTAGCCACTCGCTGCTGGGGGCTTACATCCCCCTGGGACATTGCAGTCTTTTATGTGAGGAAGCAATTCAGCTAGCTTGCTGAACATCAGTGGTTCTACTCACAGCTTGTTCATGCCTGAATTAATGCATGGAGCGGCACCCGAGGTCTTTCTGCACTAGTTAAGCTGGATAGTCAAAATATGACTTTTACAATGTTGGTGGTGTAGGGTACATTCAATTTTCTGTTTGCAAAAAAATAAAGAATATCTGACATTGTCCTGAACTTTACTGTAAATGCTTGCTGATGGGCTAACAGTATTTTCAAACAATATTTTCTTTCCTTTTCAAAGCTAAAATGGCCGTTTTTAATATATTATGAAGTATGTTAAACCCATAATAAGTCTATGCAAAAATATTCAATTGACTGATAAGGAAAACTATTTCATTGATTAATATTTTTATTATTCATTATTGTTAACATTAGTATTATCATTATTACTTATTATTATTATCATTACTATAATCATTATTATCAGTATTATTATCAACATTACTATTATTATCATAAATATGTCATCATCATTTGTATCATCTTCATTATTTTTATAATAACTTTTATTAACATTATTCTTGACCGCCTCCGTGGTCGAGGGGTTAGAGTCGATGACTTCTAATCCAGTTACCTCTCTGGCGTGGGTTCGATCCCCGGGTGATGCTTTGGTAGTTTAGCGTGGAGGAAGGTAGTCTAGTACTGGTGTAACTCTCCAGGAACGATGGTAAGGAAACTACCCGCCTATATGACTGAAATACTGTTGAAAAAGGCGTAAAATGAAACAAACAAACAAACATTATTCTTATTATTATCATTATTATCTTAATTGTTTTTATTATCATCATTGTTATTATTCTCATTATTATTATTATTAATATTATTATTTTAATTACTATCATTACATTATATATTTTATTATTGTAATCAATTACAGAGGACATGCAGCGTATGGAGCTGGTGTTAATCTTATAAAGAATAAAACAGAAGTGGGAGGTGAGTAAACATTTACTGAGCTGAAGTTTATCTCTATTTAAATTACAAAATATAAATAATTTTTATGAAAAATAATGAAATCTTTAAATTTAATGGGAAGTATGGCCTTGTGTTGAAGGTATCTGCCACTGACTAACAAGGTATCATAACCATGTTACCTCATGTGATTCCAGCACAGGTTTGTTGCTACAAGTGGACTTTAAAATGTGATTTAATATATATTGTATAAGTTGTAAGAACATGTTTAACAATTTATAAAATAAATGTTAAAACATTCAGCCAGCTAGTAGTAGCTGAATCTTACCTACATGATCAGGGCAGATCAGTTATTAGCCAGCATTTATGTGTCATCTGATCATGGTCTGCACTGTTTGCTGTTCACTAAGTACACATATATATATATATACATTTTCCCGAAAAATGATAAATGGTTATGTCCAGATTGAAAGATGGGCAAGTCCATTTAAGATGTTGAGGGTTAATAATTTATCATTAAACTTGTCAGTTTTCATTAAGTACTGGGTAGTTGTTATGGAGTGTCTTTTCCATTGAAAGAATTTTTTTTTTTTTTTTTTTTGAAAGGTGGGGAATGCATAAAAAAATGAAATTTTGTGGAAATTTTACTATTATGTATTATTAACTAACAGTTCCTTATTTTTTCATTGTTGACTTATGATTTATTGCAGTCTTGAAATCAAATCCGTATTTATAAAACATTCTCTTGCATTTATTTGCAGCCACATATTTTATGACATATCATACACCAATGAAAACATCTAGTGACTATATCAAGGGTTTGAAAGAGGCTCGTATTATTTCTAAGAATATTTCAAAGGCGATAGGTGCAAAATCAGAAGAGGAAGAAGTCTTTGCTTATAGGTTAGTATCACTTGTTTTCTTGAATGTCATGATCTTACATACGCTCAGTTAGCTGAGGAAATTCTCTATCAATTTTTATGCCCCCGCCATGTAATGGCCGGGGCATATAGTGTTACCCTGTTCCGTCATTCCGTCCTTCCGTCATTCCGTCATCATCAGTTTCCGTTCATTATCTTAGTAACGGTTGCACACATTCAACTCAAATTTGACATATGGATATGTCATGACAAAATACAGGTCAAGTTCGAATTTGGTCATGGTTCGATGATTTTTGGCAGAGTTATGCCCCTTTCACTTTGAAAATAATATGAAATTTTCAGTTTCCGTTCATTTTCTCCCCAACGGTACAACACATTCTACTCAAACTTGACATATGGATATGTCAAAGGAATGCGCAGGTCAAGTTCTAATTTGGTCATGGTTCAATGATTTTTGGCAGAGTTATGCCCCTTTCACTTTGAAAATAATATGAAATTTTCAGTTTCCGTTCATTTTCTCCCCAACGGTACAACACATTCAACTCAAATTTGACATATGGATATGTTTTTGGAATGCCCAGGCCAAGTTCGAATTTGGTTATGGTTCAATGATTTTTGGCAGAGTAAAGCCCCTTTCACTTTGAAAATATATGAAATTTACAGTTTCTGTTCATTATCTACCCAACAGTGTTACATATTCAACTCAAATTTGACATATGGACATGTCAAAGGAATGGGCAGGTCAAGTTGGAATTTGGTCATGGTTTGATGATTTTTTGGCAGAGTTATGTCCCTTTCACTTTGAAAATAATATAGATACATCTTAGGAATAAGCAGTTTAAGTTTGAATTTGGTCGTGGTTCAATGATTTTGGACAAACTTATCTTGAATGTTTGAAAAATTTTGAACTTTTAGTTTCAGCACTCATACTTTTGTGGAAATGTATGTAGCCATTATTTTGGCTACAAATATGAAACATGCTATTTTCAAAAGGTTAAGACTGAATAATTTCAGTGCCTTGAACATTGTGTTAACATTGAAAAGTTTTAAGGGCTTTGAACTTAAAATGAAAAAAATAATTTGTGCAAACAAATTTGGAACTAAATATTATAACATCTGAAATTTTGGCTGCATGCGGGGGCATCCGTGGCATGATGACACATTTCTAGTTTTTTTTTATCTCCATTTTCCATGCAAAAATTCTAGTTGATTACTTAAAGGTAATCATTTTTTTGTTTCCTAAGATTGTGTTAACTTATTTAATAAACTTGTATTTCTCACTTTAGGCTAAATCATGATAGTGTTCAGTGTGATATGACCATTAAATAGTCAATTTACATCAATTCTCTTGTCAAGTATTTTGTTTGTAAATATTGCTGCAAAAAAAAAAAAAAAGCAACTGAGATTTTCAAACTTCTGTATATCACCAAATTGCTGACAAGAAATAAGCTGACAAACATTTTTAAATATTTTTAAAATATTTAATTTTTCAGTGTATTTTATGTATTCTACGAACAATATCTAACCATCGTGCATAACACTGTGAAGAACATTGGGATATGTATGGCCGCCATCTTTGTTGCGACATTTATTCTGCTTGGATTTGACCTGGTGACGGCAATCGTTGTGTTTATAACAATAATGATGATAATTGTTGATATAATGGGAATGATGTACCTGTGGGACATAACCTTAAACGCTCTTTCACTCGTAAACTTGGTTATGGTACGTAAAACCTAGATCTATTTGTTTACTCTTTCTTTTAACGTGTTTTGTGTAAGCTGAGTGCATCACCTTGATATAAATTGTTCAGGCCCCAGTGGCCTTGAGATTAAGGTCACTGACTTCAAACCACTAATAGGTTCAATTCCTGCCAGGGTCGTGGAATTCTATCATGTTAGGAAGTTATCCAGCTCTCAATTTGTAACATACACAAGACTCCTCTTGAGATGTGTCCTTCAATACTGAAATAAGTTTTTCATGTTTGTAAATATATGATCCTTGATTATTCTATATTATACTTTGACAGAAGTAGCAGTCATGTTTAATGGATAACAATTTTAACAAATCTTAATATAGGAATTTTTTAAACTTTTTGACCAGTTTCATACAGCTCTTCCAAATTAATTTCTGGACATTAATGTGGAACATCCCTTGTATTTACAATAGGTGGTTCCAATGTCATAGCAGAATTAAGTCTTACATGTATTACACAAATATAGGGTGACAAAAAGGTGAATCATGATTGTTGTTATATATTACAGGCTATAGGTATATCCGTGGAGTTCTGCTCACATATAGCTCGTGCATTCGCTGTCAGTATACAACCAGATAAAGTACAGAGAGCTAAAGATGCCCTCGCACATATGGGTAGCTCGGTAAGTAATCTTGTCTCATCCCATCATGATGTGAAACTGTATGAGAATTATTGCTTGTATATGAGTTTACATTATAATACAGAGGTATGAGAATCATGATAAAGAAATATTCTCAGAACTAAATTAAAAATAGATGTTTTGTGCTATTCTTAGATCAGATTAAGTTAAAATGTTTTCATTTTTAGGTCAGTTTGCAAAAATAAATTATCATTCTGAAAAAAACATAAAAATATGTAAAGAGTTCTTAAGTTTGTTTCATTTTTTCTTGAATATTTAAAGTTATAATTAAAAATATACTGTAAAGATATTAAAAATTCAATACACATACACATATCTTGTAGATTTATAGTTAAAAAGATGGAAGTATTGCATTTATCTTACCATCTAAGTTAACATGTGGACAGGGGACATTCATAAGCTTTATAGCTTTCTGCCAAATCCCAAAATGTACTTTGTAAATATTGTTCACTTGTTAAATGTTTTGTTGAATAAATATGTTTAAACCAACACGTGGACATTAATGAAATTTTATTTAAATTTACAGGTATTGAGTGGTATAACATTGACAAAATTAGGAGGTATAATTGTGCTAGGGTTTGCCAAGTCGCAGTTGTTTCAGGTGTTTTATTTCCGCATGTATCTCGGAATGGTAGTGTTTGGTGCTTCCCATGGACTTATTTTCTTGCCAGTATTACTTAGCTATATAGGTAAGTTAGTTACATTTATTTAAAGGCTGATTATGTGTGGTCATGTGATAGGGGGCATATTTATGCTTCTCTTAACCAAATATTGCGGGAGTATACTTTCTGCTATTGTTAGTTCTTGCTATCTGTTTCACTTGCCGTTCCTGTTACAACCTGCACTTATAGAAGGATACATTGAGTGACCCGTAAGCTGAAAAGGGAGGGCATTAGATAACTAACCCGGGGTTTAACGGCCCGATCCATGGTCGAGTTGTTACTTCTCGGCGTTAAATTATCTTGGTCATTTTGTCTAAATGTCTTTTTGTCTCTAATCACTGATTCAGAAATGATATGAGATAAGTAGTTTGTGACTTGCAGAGAAATTAGTAATTGTCAGCTATCCAGGAGAGCAGATGATTTGGATTGACCACGGAGATATAACACAAAATCTTTTTATAAAATCTTACAAATTGAACGATATCTTGCGTATTGTATATGTATATGTTGTCTATCATAGACTTTCCTAAAGGTGAAGATTTAGGTCAATGGACAACCAGTTTTTAGCAGTGAAAAGTTAAGCCACACCTTTCATATTCATTGCTAGGTCTACTCAGTACTGCTCACAAACAGTATCACAAACAAAAGCATGTGTTTTTTTGTGTTACCCAGGTCAACCAGTGACTTTTTTTCACTCTAGGGAAACAATGATCTCTTCATGACAATATTTGTGTTTTTGTTTCAGGTCCTAGTATAAATAAAGCAAAACTGTATCAACACCAGCAAAAGGAGTTAAAAGAACAGTCACGAAAGATCAATTATCATAATGACAGTGGTGACACAGGTGTCCGCGAACATTATCATCGTACAGATCATGATCAACCACCCGAGTATTCTCATTTATAGATAAATAATAAACACATATACAGTGAAATCTGCTCGTAAAGATGTACACACGTGTGGAACATGTTTATGCAACTATTTTCTACAAAATATTGAGCATTTTTGTTGGAAATAATAATGATAACAAGAAGAACAACATAACCGACATTGTGTACTGTGTTAAACAAAGTGCTGAGATTAATTTGACCGAGGTCGGTCATGTATGAGGAGTAAATACTATAACCTTAGAAATAATTCCTTCGCAATTTTTTTTTTTCAGTTTAAACATGTTGGCATTTTATTCCCAGGCTCTTTTTCTTGATAGGCATTTTTGGGGGTATTTTGATTGTATTATCTATTAAAAATTTTAAGTTAACTAAATTCTTTATATTATGCTGAAATTTTTGTGTTTTGCTGACATTTTTGCAGAATTAACTCTTTAACTTGCGCAAAGTTATTTTAATGAAAAAAATAAAAATAGAAACAAAAGTTCTCCAGAGGTATCATAGTAATTTGGTCTTTAGAAATTTATGTGTGAAAAGAAAGACGCATATACAGGAAATCTTTGGGCTCCATCAAATCTAATGACAGCTAAATGCTGTTCTGTAGAGATTTGTATGAGAATGCTTTGATTCATTTAAATGTTTGTAAGTCATTGAAAGATTGGTTTTATTTGTCCACTTTTGCTATATACACTAGGGAAAATGTGTTTAGAAACTACCGGTATATTACAATGAACCGGTGGTAAATTTAAATCTGTTTCATATATATCCAAATCTAGAAAGAGATTATTCTCCATTTTTTTATGTTGACCTTATTGTTAGTGGTTGTAACCTCAGATATAATGTATTGTATAACAAGACAAGCAACAACCAACTAGATTAGCTGTCTTCTGTGTTGTGTCCATTAGACAATCCGTCTATCATTAATTGTAGTGTTTGAATCATATATTAATGTCATTTTGTTAAAAATCACATTGATAAATCTTCAGAACATTATATTCAGACCATTAGAATAGGAATGGACTGCTAAAAACTTACACCATTTGGTGTATATTTCTCTAATTAGCATTGTTACTTACAGACAAGAATGAGAACTTTTTATGTTGATCAACAAACCTTCCACATTGTAAAATCACAGCATGTGTGTCTGATTAGACGAAAAAAACTTATTGCTGCACTAATCTCCAGTTAATTGTCCTGTTATATTATGTGCCAGACGAAACATAGAAATGTTCCCTGTGTTGTGTGTAATTTCATTGAAATTGTGATATTTTATATATGTTATTGCCTTTGATTAGGTGAAAGAATTTATAGTGTTCTGTTGTTGTGCTACTGTGTTAAAGTGAAATGAAAATTATTGTTTGTTTCATAATTTTGGATAATTATTACACACTCAGTTTGTTTTGTTTTGTTGTCTCTTTTTCGAAGATCATGTTTTGTAGAAATAATTTGATGAAAGACTTGTTCTCTGTACTGGAAAGCTAAACATGTTTAGAATAAAGAGTAAGATGATAAACTAGTCAAACTGTTTGAAGAATATTTGAAAATAATTATTCAGTTATTATTCCATCTTATTATAAATAGTCTGCCTGCTTAGTTCAAGAGGGAGATCAATTTTGTAAGAGATCAGGTTTGTAGTCTCGGGGTGGCTGGTTTGATCCTACAGCGTGGCAAAATTTCTCTCTGACAATTGATCTCAGACTTTATAAGTCTTATTATCATTTGTCTCCACCCCTGATTCAGAAAATCATGTGGAATAAATAGTCATTTTGGAGAAATTGGTTATTACTGGTTAGTTATTAAAAAAAAAACAGTTTAATGGATCAACCATCCAGATTTGATTAAAGAATGTAATAATGCAGCATAAAAAAGAAAACGAGTTTGTTATTATAAATGATTTCAGATGCAAACAAATCGTAAATCGGATTTTTTGTGTGTGTGTAAAATGTCTTTTTCTTGAATGAGTGGAAAAGGTATTTTTGAGAAAGACAGACAGACATTCACATTCATTTTGTACAGTTTTTGTCATCCAAACATAAGGTACAAGATTATATTTTGAGAAATTTAATTGAAGTCAAGACGCTCATGTATTTATGTTATAATTAATAAAGGGAAAATTTATGTGCAAATTTTTACAGCCCTGCCATGATCTTTTGTTTTTGTTGTGTATGTTTATATGTCTGTCTGTGGGCAAATTTAACCTCGGCAATAACATCTCTATCTTAAAATACTTATATAGCTTTCCAATTTTGACACAAAAAAACCTACTAACACATTATTTAAATATGACCTAGATTTCTCATTCCTATATGACCTTGACCTTCAAGGTTAAATTTTCTAAATTTGACCTTGACCTTCAATGTTAATTTTTAAAATTCCTCTCATCTTTGTTTATTTGTTCACAGATTATAGTCCGGGAGGGTTGGGAAAGTAGGGAGGAGGATGCTTTTGTGTTTGTGTTTAAATTAAAGCCACATTTCGCAATTACTATAAAAAATTGCATTTTTATAATGTATGAACATTATTGCTCATTGTATGTTTTTGTTTATTTTTTGTTTTTTTTGTTGTTTGAATTCAATGAACCATTTTGAATGATGAATTAATATTGTAAACTTATGTATATTATTAAAATTTATATAAAGTACAAATTGATGAAAAAAAAATGCGAATAAACACTAAAAGAAACCCATTAGCTATTTTTATCATTTATTGTTCAAAAAATGTGTTATTTTGATATTGTTGCACATCTTAGCTTAACAATTTGAAGAACATGGATAGCAATTGTACTTACTCAGGAGTCTGTGTCTTGTTTTGGTTAAGTTTTTGCTGCAAGTTGGTATTACAAAAATTATTAACTGGAATAGGTTTAAACTTCACAGACTTATTTGAGAGCATATTAGGATGTCACTGTCTAAGGCTAACAAATTTGTCAACGTGGATTTTGACAGACTTATGGCCCTTTTTTGAACTTGGAAAATTTTATATAATACAGGCTGTTATTTTATTATCAAGCACTGAGAATAGTGGAGCAAGCTGTCTTACCAACATCTCTTGTTTCTACGCTTATTACATATACATAATTGTGATGTTTCTTTCTTGTATAATGTAAAAAATACAAGTTTTATACCTCGCCACATGTAAAACATAATTTTTTTATGGTCAACAGATTTTTGTAACTTCCTGTTAATTATTGTAAAAAAAAACTTTAAAAGGTCAAAATTATTTTTTTGGTTTTATTGCAATATCCAGTTTCTTGTGTATCTTAAAAGGCACTCCACTGAGGTATCAAAAACATTGAAAATCTTACAAAAATCAACTGTAAATAAATTATTATAAAGAAATATACTCAAAATTTCTGTGTTTCTTAGCTGGATTTCATGTTAAGGTATGTCAAGGTTTTTAATTTTCAGGCCATTTTGCACATTTAAAATTATTATTCTTGAAAAATAGATTAATTTAATGAGTTTAATTTTTTCCACACAAGTAATTTGTATAGATGTACACCAGATAGTCTAAAAGTCTTGAAAAGTTATTCCTAGTCACCTCATATGGAAAAAAAACCTCAGTGGAGTCCCTTTAAAGGTTGATCACTGTCTGGTTGAAGATATCTTGTGAATTTTTTTAATAAACTCAAATAATTTAAAAGATTTGGATCAGAATATAAGCATAGAATGAAGTGTTTTCGGTTTGTTAGTATTTAATGTGAGTGTGTCTAGGTTTGAAGATATAACGTGATTGATTCTACAATATTATGATTTAGTCTAAAAACGTGATTGATTGTTTTATGATTTAGTCTAAAAACGTGATTGATTGTAGATTTTTATTATTAAGTTAAAAAAAAACACCAATAGATTTCTATTTTTTATGATTATTTCTTTGTATTTTCATCATGTTCATTATGACATTTTACTGATTTATTGTAGTAGTGTTAATACCTAATAAAGAATTTTGTTAGAGAATTTTTTAGTCATATTCTTGCATAAAAATTGGTAAACAATAACGTAGAAGGAAACATGCACTTAATGGAAAAAACCATGCAAGCGTGTTGTTACACGTTTTTATAATATGCCTGACTCTGGTTACCATGTCATAAAGCTTTCTGCAATGGCGGGTTCATTAGTTTATTATCAGTCATATCGCACTTTCACATTAACTGTAACGCCGATTAAACATTTGTTTTTATGCAAGAATAGCCCTAAAGCACCTTTATAAAATCTTTGTGAAAAAAAGTGCATTAGTCTTTTTTATGACATTAACTTTGAAACATAGCTTTACACATTTATGAAGACTAATTGGTCTTTTATTGAAGGTCTTTAATACAATGAATAATTACTTTGATATCATTTACTGTTTGAAATAACAAGTAAGCACTGCATGTATTTTTAATTGAAAAGTTGTTGGCAAATGTGAGCTAATGGTCCGATATTACATATATTTATACAGCAGATAATAAAATGTTCAATAACAACATATTATTTGTCATCACATAAATCAATTATAACTTAAACAACATTTTTTATCAAGAAACATTTTATAACTACATGTCTATCCAAATGATAGATTTTCTATATTGTTTTATTGTTTTTATCAATATTTGAAAGTTATGGAAAATATGACCATTGTAGACCAATCCACTTTAATGAAATTTAGTATAGAAGATGATTGTTAATCGTGACATACAGATATAACCAGGTACGTATATTAACGTTAATATACGTACCTGATATAACTTATAAAAATAAAACTAATCATACATATATGCATTATTATAACATTTTTTTCTAAATTTTTGTGCTATTGATTCTCATGCCAGAAAATAATGAAATAAAACATTCCAAACTCTACGAATTGATGAACTCTTTTTTTCCACTCCTAATAGTACTTAAGAAGATAGTTAAAGACCAATTATGAAATTTATTGCAATTTGAATGTTGTTTGTTTTAAGGTATGATCCACCTAAGGCATTACCTCCACTTTGAAGAGTATTCAAATAGGCTAGATACTGTCAACTGCATTGTAACTGAGGGGCGCGGGTTCAAGCCCAAGAAGAGGCAACTTTTTTTTCTTCCTTTATTTTTCTTTGAACATTATTTGTGTCTCTCAGATCAGTCTTGAAAAGAAAAAAGTGTTTCATTTTAATTGTAAAATTATTATTGGTATCTATTGGCTAAATTGTGCCAAATTTATTATCAAATATAGTACCTGATATTTTCAAAGTCTAATAAAATAAAAACTAGACGGTAAAAGTATTTTATATTTGACAAGCGCAACCAATATACTTTTAAGAAAATTTATGCAAACTTTGAAAACAGCCCCTGATTTGAGTAAATTTTAAGGATATTTTGAATAAGGCCCTCCAAGTTGAAAAATGATCAAACAACTACTTAAAACGGGTGGGGTAGGGTAACATTTATATACATACTTCAAACATTTTGAGTAGAAACAATAATTTTGCTGGGTCATTTGTTAGCTGAATGCTATTATTTGTTTTTTTAAAAAAGTTTTATAGGAAAACATTTCTTCATAATGATTATAAAATAGAATATTTCGAGTTACTCATTTCTGAAAAAGAGCCCTTCTAATAGCCAACTTTTATTTAAGAAAAATCTCCATAACTCGTATGGTAACGGTAAACTTTGTTTAAATTTTGCATTCTTGTGTCTTTTAAGGTATATAACTGACCTATGTTGTCAATTTTATAGTTCCTTATAGTGCCCATTAGGGGGCTCATACCTTAAATGGACTCCATCGGGTTTTTTTGTTGTTTGGTTTTTTTTTGACATGACTATATTTTTTGATTATTTATTGTTTATCTTTCTGGTATAAGTGCCCAAGAACTAAAAAAAAATGAGCCTAAGTGGAGCCCCTTTAAAGACAGTAAGTGTACACTATAAATGTGCATACTGCTTAAAGGGGGGACAACTTTGTTGGACATCCTACAGAATCTAGACAGAATGTATTTATGGTCTATATTGAGATGCGTATCGTAACAGCAACCGTATCTGTCCGGCAACTTTTGAAAATGTCGAACGCTGAACCGATTACATCGACACGTAAATATTTTACGTTAACAGAATTAAATGTTCCGTATTGTTTTATCGTTTATCAATGATTTCGTGTACAAGCGTCATCCGCTTTCGACGCAAGGTACTACCATATGTAAAATCAAAGCAATCGCTTTTTGCAGCAGAAATAAAACTTTATATGTGAGCTTGCAAAGCAAAGGGATTTAAAGTCCGAGGTGCAATTAACGATTTTTGCAGACGACAATACAGTATTTAGCTTTATTATTTATATTTTAACTTTTTGTTCTTTTATTTAACCCAAATTTGCATGAGAAGTGATCTAAATACAATAACACAAAATACTGCAATACAGCCACTGGCAACATTAGCGGATTACCGAGACTTTTTTTAATGCTCAAAAAGAAATAAATCAAAGTGCTGCAGCACTGAATGCGACGGACATGCAACCGGAGAGACATGAAGGCTTCTTTTAGAAAAAAAAACAAAAAACAAAACAAAACAAAACACAAAATATATAACAGAGAAAATTTGTTCCATACAAGTTCGAGATTTGTAGAGCAATATATTTTGTGTCCCAAATTGATATAATTCAGATTTTTTACTTTCAAGTACTTAAATACAGAATGAAATTTATGCCTAAAAACTCTGGTCAAACTTGTAAATCAGTGTCCTTATCGATTTATTCTAAGAAATGATATGTAAATAGAAAAACTATCCACGAAATATTTCTAGAATAAATCCAGGCAAATAAACTTCAAACATAATACATTATACATTTGAGAATGCTATTTAGAATTGCTTCGTGTTATATCATAGTGGGCATACAGACAATAAAATATAAGTCATTTGTATTTTTATTTCTCTTGGATATGTCTCATTAAAAAAATTGGTTAAAATCATCCGCAATTAATAGTGTATTTCTTAGATTTTTTTTATTTACAAGGTAAAGATGTAGAGGGCACATCGTATTTATTTTAATTTAAATGTCACTTAAGCACTACAGTGTTTAGTTGTCCTTTTCAACTTCACACTAAATTCCATTTTCAACTTGTTTGCTTCTTACAATTGTATAGAATTTCTAAAAGCATTGCATGTAATCCGCTGGTTTATTAATTACATTTTTAATGTGTACTTCCTAATCGCCTGTCCAAAAATCAGAACAGGTGAAGCAGAATCTATTTTTAGAATAGCGAAGGTTTACTCATATCATGACCTAGTAAAATTTGTAAACAAACCACATGAATCGGAAGTAGAACTGATATTATAACTTCCTTACCATGAAAGACTACATGGCGGTAAAGTGTTGTAAAACTCTCTTCTTACATGCATTTTCAAAAATAGATATTTATACTAACCATTGTGCTGTATCTTATTTATTAATAACTGCTGAATATTCAGCTAAACCCGCGGTATGAGTCACGAAAATAGTTTCTTCTTTTTATTAATGCGCGAGTTATCCTAGAGTCACGAAAAACTTTTGATTTGTTAATAATAATGTTTTGTATAATGTAGAAATATTTATTTCCTACTAATAATGTCTTGGAATTCAGAGGTTACACCTTTATTGTAGTATAATTTGCTGTCCTACTTTTTCGACAGCGGTAAATCGTTTCAGCAGTAATTTGCATATTGCGCAATAATACTACGGGACTACAACGCTTTTATCAATAATATACGTTCATATTTTAACTTGGATAACTTAATTTGAAATTGAAAAGGCTAAATATGGAAGACATTAAGGTATCCAGACAAAGTATGGGAGTTTTGAAGGATCAAATTCATGTACTATTTCTTGGGCTGTTAATTGGTTAAGGACACATTGCGCGATTGTAGCCAACGAAATCCCATGTGTAGATGACTTAGCTCTGAACGCGCCTGAGGGCGCGTCCGTCGCAAAAATAGTTTGTTCGCCTGCTTAGTTCCAATTTGATTATTACTTGTTCTGAGGACTCGCGCTTCAAATCTGCAGATGTTAATGTACAAAAAAAAATGCATTAATTAATCCTATATAGTTAGCTAAGTTAATCCGACTGTAGATCAAAGAAAAATAATCATTATTGTAGAAGTTTCTTTATTCTGCTTGCTGTCACTTAAGTAGAACAATCTTGCTCGATCCATTTTACCATTTAGTTTTTTGGTAATATGTATTATTGTAATCTTAATTAAACAGGTTTGAGAAGGCGATGAAAGTTATAAACTTACAAGCAGGCGATTTATTGGACATGTATAATCAATTAATTAACATATAGTGATTTATCATACATGTACACTGTATTTATAAAAATTCTAAACTTAGTCTTGTAAAATAAGTTCTCGCTAAACTTTTATTTATTAATACAGAGCCCACCTTTTTACAACCAACCAGTACTGCTGTCATGTTCTTGGCCGGAGTATGTTCAAACCCATGACCCCCGAGTGTAGAGTTAAACTCTTTTACCACCAGGGCACCGACTCCCTAAAACTTATAGAACTTCAGAGCAGTTCTATACCTCATTTTCCGCATTATGTAAGTTGTTCCTAAGCATTTTTGTTTGAAGTAAACCGAACAAATATTTACGCTATAGAAGTCGCTAAAATCTGACCTTGACGCCCAATAGGTCACGCAAATATTTAGTTTAAACTTTCGATCAATACACTTGTAACTACTTTCCAGAACATCAAAGACTTGAATAGACTGAATGACAAAAAGCATCGAAATGTTATCGCGTGCAAAGGCCTGCGAAATTTTAATAATAGAAGAAATAGTTATTTCTTTTTGATCATTACTATCTTTGGGTTCTTTTATATCCTATATTTGGTGGCCCTGGTTTTATTTCTTTTAGAAGTCAGCTTGGAACCGGAAATGCGTAACAAGGATACATGACGTTTTCTATTGTCAATAAGATTAAACTTATTCAAGATTTTCTTAAGTGTAATATCATGGATTTTTCCACACATCAGTTCACATTTTCTTCATTTTTTCTCCTTTCCGGCATGACTTGACTTCTTTTGAAAAAGGAATTGACGAAACGCTCGCTGATGAATCTTTAATTCAAACTCAAAGAAGCGATTGATTACCTGCACAGAGATAATGTTATCGTGTATTGACACACAAAAATAACGTCTACAAATTCAAAAAACTGAATGAAAAGGATGAATTGATTTACTAGTGAAACCACTTAAGGCAATTGTTTCAAAACCTGTAATGAACGTCTGCGGGCGATATGTTTGAAAGCAGTTCATGATTACGCCATCCCCTACAACGATTCTTTCATTGTATTGCTTATAAATTTAAAGGATTCAGATTACGTTTAGTACGTACGTACGTATAAAAGACGAGTAATAATCCAAAGGGATTCAAAAAGCGGACAGGTTCTTTATAGTAAATTTATTGTACATGCATTTAGTACACACCTCTCATACAAATGTGGGTGATGTTAAAGAACCAAAGTCTTAAATATAATAAATATTGTCGTCTGCAAAATTAGAATTCCGTTCAAGTACTGCAGAGTTACATGTTCTGTTTTATATTTATCTGAAATGGTCACGTTATTGCAAACTTATCCACTTAAATTGAGTCGCAGAAAAGAGGAACCTTTAACCCTTTACCTTATGAGCATATAGTGAAAAATGGCTATTTGCATTGAAAAACCTCCTGTTTCAAGTTCAAACTGCTATGAAACTATAAAAAAGTTCTTCAATACTGATAAAACTTGGCACAGATGTTGACTGGACCAAAGCCTCTGTAACAGCATGCTCAATCTAAATTTCCTGTTACCATGGTTACGGGGGGACGTCTCGAAAACCACTTTTTTGGCATTGTTTTTTCCCCATCAATACTGATTTTAAAGTGCTGCAACTTCTCAATGGATTAAGATATAGTAAAAGGCTTTTCAGCGTTGGTTACACGTTACCTTACGATCGACCTGAGGCAACATTTAGCCTGTCACATGTCCAAAATTTCCTTGGCGATGAGGAGGGCTGCCGTCCCCTTCAAAGCCCCGAACGCAACCCCTTGATGTACCTTTTTGATAGGGGGCGGCGCCGAAAAAGTGATCACTTTTTTATCAACATTTCTCAAACGAAAAACATTGTTTGCATGGGGGCCTAAATAGGGTAATTTTTCACTGTTTGATGCCTCAAAAAGTGTGTGGGGGTCGAAAAGCCGTCAAAACACGTCTATATGAAGTAAAGGGATAATCAGTGTCAATCGTAACGATTCGGCAATTTCCGACAAGTTCGTAGAAGTCGTCCGAAGTGTTCCGCTTGCATTCGAAAACGAGTCTTGTGTGATTAACGAACGTATATTTATTGCGCCAGTCTGTTTAGCCAAGAATGTTAAGTACTAAAAACACTAGAAAATGTTGCGGCACAGCTATAAGTCACGAACCACGAAACCATAATTCGTAAATACCCCCACGGGCAGATTGCTGTTTACTAGTACAAAAGTGTCCGTAGATTTCATGAATGGACAAACAAATAACATGTTTTTCCTGTTGTACTGTTATTTCTCTAACAATTATGTTCATAAGTTAGTTTGTCAGTCAGGGATACATTTGATTTTTTAATATACGGAAAATATTTTCGCCATTGATATTTCACACTGGCCGTTCTAAAGAAAAAAGGCCTCTGAGATTGACTTTTATATAGCGCCCAATAATTGATGATGAAAAATGATTAGGATAAAATATAAAAAAAATGTCTCAAATATAAAAAGACTGTCCCAACTCTTGTTTCCACATACTGTCACTTTATTACTACTAGTATATTAATACTATGTAAGTTCATTTCCTAGAAACTGTGATGGCGAAAACTGTACTCCGTATTTATTGTAAAATTGACGCATCAATTGAATTTATTTTATAAAGGAAAAAAAATAACTCCAAACATTATTTGAATCACGCGTTCTTTAGTGAAAACATGGATATTTTATTTCGTTTGCGTGGGCAGTTAGTTCTGCTATTTCCATTTGTAATAAATCTTTCACATTGTAAGTAATATTATCGTTGTTTGAATTAATATTTGAATATTAATTAGAGAATTTCAAATGTTTTTATCATTCAAAACTTTTGATTTAAATTTTATTAACAACTTGATAAGTATGTTAATTTTAATTTTATTTACTAATTTGTGTGTTTTTTTATATATATAATTAAGGTACGATAAAAGGTTAAATGGAATGAAATGTAAGTATATTTTTGTATATTGCAATTAACCGTTTATATACGGCCATATAACCGGTCAGAAATATTTATAACGAATTTATAATACAGCAAGCATCATTTTTACGTGAATAAAGCGAGATTTCTTTATTAATCGACGACAGCCGTGTATATAAAACTATATAAACGTCACAATTATCCAATGAAAAGCGACGTTGCAAACTTGCAGTATTATAAACGGCATTATAATACTGCATGTTTGTAACGTCACTTTTCATAGGATAATTGTGACGTTTATATTATTAGTTATAAATATTCCGGACAGGTTATATGGCCCTTATAATATATGTTATTTTAGTTTTGGAGTGATATATGTGAATATATTACCTGTCAAGATTTATATCACCCGAGCCGTCAGGCGAGGGTGATATTTTATCTTGGCAGGTATTATATCCACATATATCACTCCAAAACCAAAATAATAATTTTATTACCCTTCCCCTGCCGAGTTAAAGCGATTTTAAAATAAATCATTGCTACTTCAAATGAAACGTCGGAATAAGATTCAAGAGAAAAGGAGTAGTCTGTTGAACGCCCTTTTTTGGAATTAATATCAAGCTTTCACAAGGTCATATAAAATTGTTTTCAATACTGATGAAAATATGTATGATTACTCTATCTTGGTAAATATTTATCATTTGACAAATCAAACTGTACGCGCATCGCTACAGCGCATGTTGTTTAGAACGGGGAAATTTAGTGTATATTACCCGTCTGGCTCGGTAATCTCAATTTCTTTCGGGTGATCAATATCCAATCAAAAAGGCGGACAAAATCTGGAAGGGTAATAATATAAACGGTTGTTTGTAAATAAAACCCGAGCCGCTAGGTTTATATACGGCCATATAACATGTCAGGAATATTTATTTAGCAAGCATCATTTTTAGAGGAATAAAGCGAGATTTCTTTATTAATCGACAGCAGCCGCTTTCCAGTAAACTTTGTTACGCAGGTTAACTTTTCTGCTTAATTTTGCATTACAGAAGTAAAACTGTTTAGCCAAAAATTTCTACTTAAATTTTAAACACCAATAACTTTTCATTTTCATTTTCATGTCATTTTCTCCGCGAGTAATTTTTCCCAGTGCATGTAACTCTTTCCTTAAATTTTCTTTAAAAAATTTCCAGTAAAATTGAATGCATATATGTTTTGGGAAAATTTTTTGCAGAATTTTTACGATGGAAACACAAGCTCTAATGCACTATTTTCCTCTCACTCAATATTGGTCACACTGGCAAACTTTCCACCTACATTTGCAACGTATGTAAACTTTCCAGCTGCATTCGCTACGTAGCGAGATATCTGCTACGTGGCTAAACTTTTGACCTATATTTGCATACATGGGTAAACTTTCGAGCTAAATTTGTAACGTAGCAAAACTTTCGAGCTACATTTGCTACGTAGCTAAACTTCCAAACTTTATTTCCTAGGTAGCATAACTTTCGAACTACAAATGTATTATTTATGCATGTGTAAACTTTCCCGACTGCATTTGCTACGTAGCTAAACTTTCGAGTTATATTTGCTACGTAGCTAAACTTTCAAGCTAAATTTGGCACATGGATAATATTTCCAGCTATATTGCTACGTATATGTAGCTAATTTTTCAGGCTAATATTTAATACATGGGTAAACTTTCCCACATATACACAATGTATTTGCAGTTGTTCGTATTTCCAACCCGCGGATTAACTTAATTCATAAGGCAATTTTTTAAATTTTTAGGGTAATTTCAAATTTTAACTTTGCACATAAACTTAATAAAAATGAAACTTTTCCAAAAAATGCACCCCAAAATTTTTTTGACCAAATTTGAAAACTTTGGTAATAAGTTTTCCACTTGTATCAAAATGCCACCAGTACTTTTCCCTAAAGTTTTTGAAATTTTAAGGAAAAAATAAAAAAATAGAAAAAATTATAAAAAAAAATTTTGTTAATAAGTTTTCAAAATTTCATTTTAAAAACACCGATTTTTTAACTAAAAAATATAATTAATTTTTTGACTGTGCTCCTTAAATTTTTTAATTTAGTAAACCGCACTTTGGGGTCAAATTTTTTAACCCCCAAATGGGTTTTTAAACAGGTACATAGATTTTTTAAAATCGCAAACACCGCACAAAATGGGGTCATAAAAAATTTAAATGTTCATTATGTTTTAAAAATTTTATTGTAGTCAAATCAAGGGGAAAAACAAAAAAATAAAAGGTAAAAATAAACAAAACATTCCCTTTTAATTTATAGTAGAATCAATAGGGATTTTTAAAAGCTTGTTAGAAAATGAAAAATTTTCACCAAAAAAATCCCAAATAAAGAATTTGTTTTAAATTTTAAAAGGGGACCCCATTTTGGGTTTGAAACCAAAAAACAAAAACATTTAAAATTTCTTAAAAATGACTGGGCATTTTAAACAAAAATATAAAAAAGATAATAAAAAAAATACTTAAAAATGAATTAAAAATCATTTTTATGCCTTTTTTAGCCCATTTGAATGAAAAGCTTTAAGCGTTTTTATTTGGTCTTTTTTTACAATTTTTAAAATTTTTCGGAAAAAACAAAAAAAGTGCGCAAATGATCTAAAATTTGCCAAAATTTTCAGGGCTACACCAAATTTCAAATGTACTTTTATCGGGGAAAAACTTTTTTCCCACCCCTCATGTCAAAAAAACCCAGTGGGAGTCCCTTTGTAACACCGCACTTTGGGGTCAAACGCACTTTGGGTCCAAACCCAAAGTGCGTTAAACTTCGCACCGCACTTTGGGTCCAACGCACTTTGGGGTCAAAATCGAGAAATTGACCCCAAAGTGCGTTAATATGCTACATATCAACGCACTTTTGGGTTCCAGAGGTCTAAAGTTCATCTGAGTTTTTGCTTAAAAACTAAAGTACTGACTTATTTTCGATCTGCGACATTGAAATATTTGAGGTGGAGTTCAAGATGGCAGTCAATACTTTAATGATGCTTAAGTGATAAAAAGTTTCATTAATTTACCACTTGAAATATCTAAAAATTGTGTTCATATAACAAAATTACGTTGGCATAATAAAGATATTTGCATTTTGTTTTTGTTTTTAGTTTTGCATACATATTTCATTTTAGTTTTGCATACATATTATTTTTTAGTTTTGCATACATATCTTTTTTTAGTGTTGCATACATATTTTATTTTTGTGTTTTGTACATATTTTATTTTTGTTTTCGTACATATTTTAGCCAATCAAAACAGCCTTCACATCTCATAACAGCCCATAGTTGAGTATAAAACTAGCACAGTGGTTTGGACACATTTCGGACCATTTTGGAATCGGCCCTGTCGTTTTCGGCAGGGCAAAGATGGTTTCGGCCAACCCTTTTCGGCCCATTTTTTAAATTATATGTATCTTATATAATTATTGTTTTTTTTATTATTATATACTATAATATTAGTGTCTTTTTGGAAAGGGCAATTGATTGGTGATCAGTTATTATTCCATGAATTCGCATCACTCAACCCCACCCATTCGGGGGTGGGGGCATTGACTTTAAACCAAGCCGACCACTGGTAAAATCTTCGCCCTGCGGGGGATACTCAGATAATAACATTCCTGTCTTTTTCATGTGTTGCTTTTTGGCAATGATGAGTACAGTTATAGTGAATTAGAATTTTATAGGGAAGACAAATACTACAGTGTTTTGACTTCTTTTATGACAAATAATTTCACATTAATCGCTACTTTATTCAGATAACAAGCATCTTACATTTCTCAGATACCATTATTTTAACATTATAAAATTCATGTTTGCTCTTTCTAAAGAAGTATGTAAGATTTACCATAACAAGCCTCTGGCGAACGGTTGTTACGGAGCTTACAAAAACCCTTGAATTGTTGATAATCTTAATAACGTATTTGTAAAAATCACTTTTTATAGTCCGATCGAAAAACTTGATGTTTCACCAGAACATTGCAATATGGTATATTTATAGTTCTTTGGAAAAAAATATAAACTGCATTTTATTTCATTCCCAACATATTTAAAATGGGGCTCAATATGGCACCAACAGTTATCAAGTAAATGACCGACAGAACGGGATATTTTTCGCAGCATCTTTTAATTCTAGGAATGCACAATTTCTGTACTAGAGTATTTTGAACGGTGGCATAAAAGTGACATTTGTATTTTTTGATACTTTTTTGTTTGTTTTTCGTACATATTTTTTTGTTTGTTTGTCGTACATATTTTTTCATTTTTTGAATATATACATTTTTTTAGTTTTGCAGATATATTCTTTTTTAGTTTGCATACATATTTTATTTTAGTTTTGCATACATATTCTTTTTTAATTTGCATACATATTTTATTTTAGTTTTTTTCTTACATATTTGTACATATTTTTACATGACGCCATTTTTTGGGCCCCAACAAAAGGGTTTTAAGGTAGAGGGTTTGGAATAATTACATATTTTTTTTTTTTTTTTTGCAAATGCCATTTGCAAATAACAATATTTTCGGAGGTATCAAAAGAATACAATATTTTTATTTATATATATAAATATAAATAGTCCGCCACACGGTAACCCAAAGAAAGGTTGCTGCATAATGGCGTCTCGATGTGGTTAAACATTTGTCACAAGGTGCCTTAAAATCCTGTCATGGGGGTTTCGGCAGATAAGGAGCGGGGGGGGAATGGGGAAAAAAACCAATTCTCAATTCTCAGGGGGTGGGTTGGAGTGGCTGCATATTTCATGGAATAATAACTGATCACCAATCAACAAGACGCCAGACTTGCCCGGTCGAAAACGACGGGCCATTCCAAAAATGGGCCGAAAGGGGACCAAACCACTTGCTACTTTTTTTTACTCATCTATGGCGTAACACCCATTTTGGGTAAAAACGCATTTGGGATCAAACCCCAAAGTGCGTTAAATTTCCGCCCCCGAAATTTTGGGCCCAACCCCATTTTTGGGGTAAAAAAATCGAGAAATTCCCCCAAAGTGCTTTTTAATACTACATATAAAGGGAAAATTTTTGGTTTCCAGGGGTCAAAAAGGGTTTCATGATTTTCGGGCTTAAAAAATTGGGGAACACTTTTTTTCCCATTACAAACTTAAAAATTTGAGGGGGAAAGTTAAAGAGGGCCGGAAATATTTTATAATGCTTAATTGATAAAATTTTCTTTAATTTTTCCCACGAAAATCAAAAAGGGGTGTTTCATATAAAAAAATGGGTTTCCCCGCATAAAAGTACAGGGGGGCATTTTTTTTTTTATTTTTGGGGGGGGAAAAATTTTTATTTCTTTTTCAACAATTTTTATTACAGTTTTCCCATACAAAAGTTTTTTTTAAGGGTTTTGCATTCATATTTTACTTTGTTTTTCTTAAATTTTTTTACCCCATCAAAACAGCCTTAACATTTTCCATAAAAACCCATATTTGGGAGTAAAAACTACACAGGGGTTTGGTCACTTTTCTCCCCCTTTTTTAAATTTGGGCCCAAATCGTTTTCGGCCGGAAAGGGTCGGGGTTTTGGGCCAAACCCCTTTTTGGGCCCCATTTTTTAAAAAAAAAAATATGTATTTTATGATTTTTTTTTTATTTTTAAAACCTTTTACATTGGGTTCTTTTTAAAAAGGGCCTTTTGTTTGGGTAAACCCATTATTTTTCCGTAATATTCACCACTCAACCCCCCCCCCTGAAAACGTGGGGTCCCCATTACTTTAAATTTTAAAACCAACCCACCACTCCCTGGGGGGGAACTAAAGAAAAACATTCCTGCCTTATGCCTGGGAACAGCGAAAAAACCCCAAAAATATTTTTTTTAACCCGCACCCCGGGGGCGGGGATGGGGTTACAAAGGACTGGTGTTTTACAATTATGCAAAAAATAAAAATCAAATAGGCCTTTATATTCCATTATTGGGAAAAAGGGCTTAAAGCTTGAAGATTTTTATGAAACGGGGTCAATTTTTTAAGCCACACCCCCAGATCATTTTGCAGAGTTTATATGCCGGGTTTCCCGGGCTAAAGGGCGGGTCACCCCTTTACGGGGTAAAAGGGAATAAAGATTTGGGTTTCAGGGCCCCCCCCCTTACCCCAAAAACCCCCTTTAAATTTTAAGGCCCCTTTGCCCCAAGGGGGGCCCAACACCCGAGACCTTTAATTGCAAAAACCATTTTTTGGGGTTCCCCCACTATTTTATTTATAAGCTTAAAAGTGTTGTTATTTTTTTGATACATGCTACCTCCAAAAATGAAAAATGTTGGTATTTTACAAATGCATTTGCAAATTAGGGTACTGTTAATTTAACAGATGGCGAAGTGTTTGAAAATGGTGTTTTACAAAATGGGCGTAAATTACCAAACCTTCTACTTTGCAAATTGGCGTCATGTTAATGAATATGTACGAAAAACACAAAAAATAAAATATGTACAAAAAACTAAAATAAAAATATGTATGCAAACTAAAAAAAGAATATGTATGCAAAACTTAAATAAAATATGTATGCAAACTAAAAAAAGAATATGTATTGGCAAAACTAAAAAAATAGTATGTATTCAAAACTAAAAAAAAATGTACGATAAACAAAACAAATTATATGTACGAAAAAAAAAAAAGTATCAAAAAAAAGTGCAAATTCACCTTTTATGCCACCGTTCAAAATCCCTTAGTACAGAAATTTATTACCTTTAAATTAAAAATCTGCGAAAAATATCCTTTCTGTCATCTTTTACTTGATAATTTTTGGGGTCCCAAAACCCCCCACAAATAAAGGTAAAAAATACATTAATTTTTTTTCCAAAGAACAAATAATTTAATTTTAATTGCAATTTTTCTGGTGAAACATCAACTTTTCGATCTTTTTTAAAAATACTTTTATTAACCCTTATAAACAAATTTAAAGGGTTTTTTTTAACCCCGTAACCAGGGCTTTTTTAAGGAAATTTTAATACTTCTTTAGAAAAAAGAAAAACATGAATTTTATAAGTTAAAAAAAATTGTATCAAAAAATTTTAGTTTGCTTTTTTTCGAATAAAGTAGCGATTAATGTGAAATTATTTCAAAAAATTAGCCCAAAACACATGTAGTTTTTACTTTTCCATTTTAAAATCCCGGGGTCCCAAATTTCATTTTAACATTACTCACCCTTTGCCAAAATAACAATGAAAAAATGGTTAAAAAAAAGGGGCCAATTTTTTTAATTTTTGAAAATATAGAAAAACCCAATTAAAATAAAAAACCCTTTTTAGGAAAACAAATAAAGCTTTAGGGGACTTTAAAACTTTTTTTTAACCCCTCGGGGGGGGGGGATCCCCCAAACAATTTTCCCCTTTTCCCCCCCAAATGAAAATTTTTACATTATTCTAACTCGCGACTACTTAATTTAGTTAAATTTTTTTAGTACTTCTGTAGGGATTTAAAAACTAAACCATCTCCCACCCTGTAAAGTTTTTTATTTTTATGTCCCCACTTAGCAAAAAATTTCTTTCAAAATTATCGGGCACATTTTTTACTGAAATGTCTAACAAAGATTCCCTAGAATTTACACATTTGTCTATGCTTTAAAACTATCATATTTTTTATAAAATGTGTAAATAAAAAAAAACGGGAAAATAATGCATTTAGCTAAAAACAATGGAGTTAATGAAAAGGTGTACATTCTTTTTTAAAATAAAAGGAAAATTTGAGAAAAAATATTTTAAGCTTAATAATTGATACAAATTCTTTATTTTGGTGATTTATTTGGTGAAAGTTCTTCACTCACTAATCAATACCCATTTAAATCCCTATTGATTCTACTATAATTCAGGGCACATGTTTGTGTCTATTTAATACCTTGATTTTTTGTTTACCATTGGCTTTGACTACAATATATTATTTAAAACATAACGAACATTAATTTTCTATGACCCCAAAGTGCGGTCGTTTGCCAGATGTTAAAAAATGCATATGTACCTGTTTAACGCACTTTGGGGTCAAAATTGGACCCCAAAGTGCGTAACGCACTCTGGGGGCGAACCCCAAAGTACGTAACGCACTTTGGGGTCGGACCCCAAAGTGCGTTTGACCCCAAAGTGCGGTGTTACAGGGCTGTTATGAGATTTGAAGGCTGTTTTTATTGGCTAAAATATGTATGAAAAACAAAAATAAGATATGTACGAAAAACAAAAATAAAATATGAATGCAAAACTAAAAAAAAAATGTGTATGCAAAACTGAAAAAAAATATGTATGCAAAACTAAAATAAAATATGTATACAAAACTAAAACAAAAAATGCAAATGTCACTTTTATGCCAGGCACCGTAATTTTGTTATATGAACACAATTTTTAGATATTTCAAGTGGTAAAATTAATGAAACTTTTATCACCTAAGCATCATAAAGTATTGACCGCCATCTTGAATTCCACCTCAAATATTCCAATGTCGCAGATAGAAAATAAGTCAGTACTCAGTATTTAAGCAGAACTCAGATGACACCTTTAGACCTCTTGAACCCAAAGTGCGTTGATATGTAGCATATTAACGAACTTTGGGGTCAATGTCTCGATTTTAACCCCAAAGTGCGTTGGACCCCAAAGTGCGTTTGACCCCAAAGTGCGGTGTTACAAAGGTATATATAGTTTTCCTCCGTACTTTGTGCTCATGTTTTTTTTTAAACATTTTCTTTGTTTATGTTTCTAGGTGATGTCTCGCATCAGTTGTGGATATACAAACCGGAACTGGAGAATATGACTGCATCATCAGGATATAGAGTCAGGACTCGATCATCTGTAGGGTGTGGCCGCACGTGCTCTATAAATGACACGTGCATCTCCTTCTTCGTTATGCCAACAGAACAGCTAAACTGTCAGTTACACGACACTGTGTTGGATGCCACAGATGGGTTATCGTACGTGCAGAAATCATATTACTATGTGCTTGGTGGAGGTAAGGTATCAGAATACAGTTAAACCTGCTTGAATGATCAACACAATACAATATATGGGTATCCGGAACTTTTATTTGGCTTAACTAGTTTTAGATCTCACTGGCGGAATTTAAATATATGAGAGTCTAAAAACAAGAAATAGGTCAATATATTCATATATTTCTTTTTTCCCTCTTTTTGGTAATTGACATGGATTGTAATTGCCGTTTGTAATATGTAAATTACATTATTTGTTCTTTTTTTCAATATTTACTTTTAGAAACATTTTCAAAATTTTTATGAAATTATATGAATTTATATAATTTTAATGTGACATTTTCTACACTTTTCCCCCCGGAATTTTATTCGTTTTTACGAAATAGTAATTAGTAATTTCGACATAATAATTCGTAATAACGAAATATTAAATCGATTTTACGAAATATTAATTCGTTTTTACGAAATATTAATTCGTAATTACGAAATATTAACTCGTTTTTACGAAATATTAATTCGTTTTTACGAAATATTAATTCGTAATTACGAAATATTAATTCGTTTTTACGAAATAATTATTCGTTTTTACGAAATAATAATTCGTAATTACGAAATAATAGTTAGTTTTTACAAAATATTATTTCGTAATAACGAATATTTTTCGTATTTACGAATTAATATTTCGTACAAACGAATTAATATTTTGTAAAAACGAATAAATATTTCGTAATTGACCCCTTTGTGAGATTAGTAGGTTCTTTTTCAAGCTCACAATGATCTTAAATAAGATTTCGTAAAAACGAATTAATATTTCGTAATTACGAATTAATATTTCGTCAAACGATTTAATATTTCGTAAAAGCGAATTAATATTTCGTAATTACGAATTAATATTTTGTAAAAACGAATTAATATTTCGTAAAAACGTTTTATTGCTTCGTAGAAACGAATTAATAAATTGTAAAAGCGAATTGATATTTCTTAAAAACGAATTACTATTTCGTTAAAACGTATTGTTATTTCCTAAAAACGAATTAATATTTCGTAATTACGAATTATTATTTCATAAAAATGAATTAAATGCCAGGAAAAAAGTGTCGAAAATGTCACCTTAGGGGCTCCTTATAGTTTAAATCTAGACTGCTTTATTATAACCTGCAAGTTTGTTCGAGATAGAATAAACAAAAATAAAAATTAACCGGAAATGAATTTTCCATATTTTATTACTTGCGTGAAATTTGTTAGCTGACCGCTTGGCGTGAACAAGTGGCAAAAGTTTCACTATTGTTCTTTTAAGAGCAATAGTAGTTATTTCATAGTCTGTCAACATAACTTTCATAATATGTATAGTCTGGATAAAATAATGCATTAAAGAGGAAATAATAAAAATAAGTCATTGAGAAACAATGAGGTCTCCGTCCACCATTAGTGTTCAAACATCATTTGCCGAACAATCAAATCAAAAGTTAATAATTTGGAACGAAGTGCGCATGTGTAAACTGAATGTTGTAGTCATGCCTTATGATTGGAAGAACTCGATCAACGAGGGCTCATTTTGTTTATAATTCCATGGAATAAATCACAAATATTTTTTCATTTTGAACTGACATGTATTAATCACAACTGGATGATGATTGTCATTTAAACATTTAACAATAAATACACACAGGCACGTGAAAGGCCGGTACAGTTTCACTTCTCTGTAAACGTTGTTTAGGGCTCATTTCAGTATATTTCAATTTATATGGAAGTGTCCTCGACACAATTATATAGAGAAGGCCTAAGGTTGATCCGAAAATTGCAACATTCAAGAAATTCAGCTGTACACGATGTAAATAATGTGCACTCTGCCTTTGATATTTATATATTAATTAACGTAACTGATAGATGAAATGTGCTACCTAAACTCCACCCATTGTATTGTAAAACAACTTTCTATAAGCTAGAGGCGTTCCAGCGGTGTCCAATGAGGTTAAACATTAAGTTAGTTTTTTATTCAATTAAGAACCTACGGTCGTTTCCTTCTGGTCGCTTCCTTTTGGGTTCTTAATTGTTAAAATTTCATTTAAACAGTAACATTACGTAAAGCTGTCTTTGCTTTTTCGCCGCAAAAACGCAACAAGCCAAACATCGTCCTGTTTTCGCATTTTCGCTTTTTGCACTGTAACACTTTCCGCGTGTTTTTTTAACAATGACATGCGCATTGTTGCATTTTCACTTTGTTACATCGTATTTTTCTTCGCTGTCCGGTTGTACAAATTATGCGCGCATCAGTAGTAAACGTAGAGAGCCTACATGCACAAAATGCGATAAACGTAAAAGATGCGGAAAAAGTAACAATGCACAAAATAGCAAAATGCAACAATTAGAAAATACCACAATTCAACAATGCAAAAATGCGAATGTAATAGGAAAAAGCAAGTATGTGATAAAAAAAGCAAAAATGCAAAGATAAGACAAATTTTATGAATCGTATTTGCCTTATTTTGTCCTCCTTTTGAATTGCCGCCACCTGAACGCGAAAGCTTTTTACACAGATACGGCAAAGTTGGACTTTGCCGATATTCGTGGCGATAAAGCGAAATTAGGACATGGTGTAAATCAGTCCCCATTGTAATTTATTACAAAATTTTAATCATTATAATTTCACTGGAACAACGACAATATTTTCATTTGTAAAGACTTGCTTTTTTAGATTTTTAGAAACAGGTACATGTATCATATTTTTCATATTTTATTTTCATTTTTTTAATGAAATTTGTTTATTTTTGTAGCCGGAATAACATCAACTACACCAATCCCGACTGCGCAACCTTTCTCGTGCCCTCCCGATGATACTATTTTTAGAACAGTACAGTTGTCTGACGGAGAGCTCTTCACTTACAAGTAAAATATTCTTTATAGTTAATCATAGTAAAATGGTAAACTTAATATGAGGTTATAATACATTAATTGTCGAGTACAATACTGAATATTATTATATAGGAGTCAGCTTGTCGGTCGGTTCGCCCGTCCGTCGGTTGGTTGGTCGGTCTCCTTGATGGTTTCCGTTGGAATTAGGTATTGTGATCAATTTTGGTATATTACAAACTTAAGTAAAAACCTTAGTTGGAATTGCTTTTGGTGCTTTTGGTACCCCTGAGGTCAAGGTCCAGGTCACCGTTGCTAAAAATAGAAAAATTGTTTCCGGACAATAATTAAAGTTTTGAACGAGATATTGTAACCAAACTTGGTATATAGCACGCTTATGTGAAGACTTTGGTTGGTATTCTTTTGAGACACATTGGGTCAAGGTCACTGTTACAAAAAATAGAAAAATAGTTTACGGACAACAACTAGAGTTTGGAATTAGATATTGTACTTGACATATAGCAAGCTAATTTGAAGACCTCGACATGTATTGCTTATGAACACCCTTGGGTCAAGGTCACTGTTACTGAAAATAGAAAAATGGTTTACGGACAACAACTAGAGTTTGAAATTAGATACTGTAATCATACTTGGCATATTGCAAGCTAATTTGAAGACCTAGGTTTGTATTGTTTATGAACCCCCTGAGGTCAATGTCACTGTTACTAAAAATAGATAAATGGTTTCCAGAGAATAACATTTGTTAAGAATATGTTATTGTAATCAAACTTGGTATTTAGCAACCTTATCTGGAAACCCCAGTTGGGATTGCATTTGATCCCCTGGGGTCAAGGGGCACTGTTATTAAAAAAAAGAAAAATGCTTTCTGGACAATTATTAGAGTTAGGAATGAGATATTATAATCAAATTTAGTATAAAGCAAGCTTATATGAAGACTGTGGTTGGGATTGCTATTAGTTGAAATAATTCTTTGTTTACCGTTGAAACTTTATAATTGTAGGCTGTTTGAAATTTTTATTCAGACCACTTATTTTTCAAGAAGTCAAGGTTGCAGAAACGGGTATTAATCACAAGTCCAAGAGATGGCGGGGTTTATTGCAACTTACCGTATCACAAAAAGAAACATTGCCATTATAAAGCATGTTGTGTGTAGTTTCTAATCAAAGCACAGAAGGCGCTGAATTTGTTTGGGTCTCAGAATGTCAGAAAGGTGAAGGTTGTGAGATTATAAACCAATTTGTTTTTGTATAGTGCCACCAATGCTTTCCAGTGTTTTAACTGTAGTAAATTGGCTATAAGACTAATTGCAACACTGATAGTCAATTCAATGCTTATTTGACTTAAAAAAAAAGAAAAAAAAAAGAGTTGCCTCAACTGGGATTCGAACTTCAGACCTCTCGATTCATAAGCGAGCGTGCAAACCCCTGGGGCACGGTGAATATTTTAACGGCCTGAAGAAAACCATATTATTCTAAATTAGGGTTTGTAACTCTTTTATTTCGACACTAAACCTGTTGTTTAACACAGATGTAAATAATCATGAAGTTTAATGTATCTATAAAGAATGAAACAATATTAGAAATCTTCGACCATTCGGGAACTACTTTGCTTGAAAATTAATGCGCCTGTCATTTGACAATCTTTACGCATTGATTTCCCCTGAATTTTTCGGCGTTAGTGTACATATAAAGGGAAGTAACTGCTTCAAAAAAGTCGACTACTTTAGGCAATTGCAATTAACAGCATTAGGCTCTGAAATTTCGCTACCATTATTTGTTTGGTCTGACGACCCAAACAAATAAAAACCCATTTCTTAAGTTACGCAGCCCGGGCAAAAGTACAAAAATTCAAGATGGCCGCCAATATGGCCGCCATAAATTACAAAATACCATATAATTTTTGTTTCTTGATTTTTACATACGAATTTTGTACAAAGTAGTTTTAATTGCACAACATCAGATAAAATATGGCTAATTTATGATTCAATCAAGCAAAAATGACAATTATATGGCAAACTTTAAAATTATCACTATCAATTTACCAAAAAAGTGGTAAAAAATAGCATTTTTTTGACAATATGATGACTTTCGTTTTTCCGTATTTGCACAATATAAACGAAAATGCATTTAAAGTGTGTGTTCTTTATTAATTTAACATAGCTAGACAAGTTAAGTATAAAAAAAAACATTATCTGAGCATTTATAATGTAAGAGTAGAGCTTCAAAAGTGGGTGGGGTAAAATTACCGAAAAAAAAATTAAAATTACAATGTTCCCAAAACATGCCTTTACATTATAATTTCAGTTTACTGTATAGGAAATTGTGTTGTAATTGTATCTTCCTTATCATTTGAAGATGTTTTGATAAGTTTAGCACATCTTCAAAAGTGGGTGGGGTAAAATAAACCCCCCAAGAAAGCACGTTCAAAATTAATAAGCTCCTAAAACTTGCCCTTATTTTACAATTTTAGTGCAATTATCATATATTAATTGAATTTTGAGGTAAGATATATAAATATGTATTACATTTAAGAAGAAAAGAAAAATCATGTCGTAGCAACCTTTAAGATTATCACAATTAACCAAAAATTTAACAAGAAAAAAACACAGTTTTTGCATTTTGTTGCCTTTTAGTATATCATTTTGACACAAAGTAGAATAATTGTGCTACAGTTGTTTTAGCTGATTATAGCTGTATTAGTTTGGCATAAAAATCATTACAAGAGAATGTATCACAGAGGGATAGAGTAAAACATGGGTCCGACAAAACACTTTCAAAATTAGAGTGCTAATAGAACATGCTTTTACTTTTTAATGTTTAAAGATCCTGTAACACATTTTTTTCATGGTTTTATTCCATAAATATGATGCTCAAATTAAGATTTGTCAATATTGTAAGTTCCAAAAGGCATTATTTATAAAGATATTACCGAAATTATCATTTCATGTAAATAAAGGGAGGTAATTAGAAATTTATTTTCTATAAGTTCTATTTCAAATTTTCCAATAAGAAATGAATGCATATAATTTATTGGTTAAATATAATGTTCACAAATATTTGCAGTACACATTTTACATATTCTTCGATGTTTGAAAATTATTTTATTTGCATAATTATATACATATATAATTTTTGAAAGTGTGGTATACACACAGTAATAATATCAATCACAAAACATACAGGATTTTTAATAGTCATGTTTTGCCATTTTCTGACACTTATTAATTATTATTAATGAATTATGTTAACGATGTACCTAGCATTGTCATATTTTGTTAAAACAATTTCATTGCAGATATTTTTGTGAAATCTACGAAATTCTTACTGAATATTTTTGAATAAAAATGCTTGGAAAGCTGTACTCCCTATTGTTGGTCAAGTTAATATGGTCCTTACTAAAAAGACGCGAGTTATAATGACGTTATGTATTTAGACTGTGTTTATCTATAGTGTATGGAGTAAACACTTATCAAATAGTGTGTACTTAAAAAGATGTTTATTTCATGTTTAAAAAAGAGGCTGTAATTAGCAAATACAAGTATTTTCAAATTTCAGTATATAAAATCTTTAACCAATTAAGGAAAAAACATCATTTAAATGTTTTATTTATCATAATTAATTCACACAAAAATGTATGAAAACAACATATAAGTATTTTGATAACTTTTGTTTCATCTTTATTACATAAAATAGATGTGCTTTAATTGAAATTGTCGTGAGGCATGTGTCTCAGAAGAGTAGCACTGGGATCAACTTGAACTTAAACCTGAAGACATCACGATGCTTATACAACATACTCTTATGGGCAGAAACAGTTTTTATAACGTTCTTTCTACAAATAAAATGTAATTTTATTAATTTTGATACATGTTTATAACACCTGTAATTGATTATGTTTTTTTCTTAAAGGCTCATTAATTATGCCTCAGGAAAGCTTTTATCTTCCTTTCTCTAAAGCTTTTTTTTAATTTGGTATAGTTTTATGTTATCCATTTCGTAACTCATTGGCCAATCACCTGAAATATTTTACTTTTTTTTTAATTTGGTATAGTTTTATGTTATCCATTTCGTAACTCATTGGCCAATCACCTGAAATATTTTATCTTTTACATTTTGGCAACAAGTATAGTTGTTGTGAATTAGTATTTTGTATTGAAGGAAGTTGAAATACTACTTTGCTTACATTTTTCTACATTTACTACAAAGTATTTTAGATTTATCGCTATTTTATTCAGGTAACAAACATCTTACATTCTCTTGAACCATTATTTAATTCATTTGTTTTTGAGGCATAATGTGCCTTTGATTAAGGTAATAATTTTTGCATCATAATTACAAATAAGAAAAAGTGCATTAAAAACATCAAAAGACACACTTTTACATTAATCAAGAGCCATGAAGTCTGTGTAATGCATTTTGTGAGAGTGTAGTTGTGAAATTTGATATAAACACATCATCATTTTTTAATTTGACAAAGGTAAGACGTATTGTCATTTATAAAATTAGCAATAATATATGAATAAGTTTAGCAAAAGTTGTGAATGTTACTGCACACAAAACATCCAAATAGTTAAAACATGTTTAAGCTATCAATACTTGTCACAGAAATACATACATCTTGAAATTATGCCTTAATACATTCTGTACAAAAGTCGATTTAAAAGCAACAATTTTCACACTAAGCCACTGACCAGCATTTAGTTGTAATTTACATTTATAAGCGCATAGTCGCTCTTTCCTTCAGATCCACTACCTATGTTATGTGTTGTCTCACTATTCAGCAGAAATAAGATTTTAAATGTCAGTACTTTGGGAGTGTTTCAAAATCACACTGAGCACTGACTGTGCAGATGGCAAAAAATGATGCATCAGCTCCTGACAGTTTGATAAATCTGGGATGTTATATTTTTGATCCTTGAAAATCGTTCAGCACCATAACATTGCTGTGTTGCATAGTTTTAGTGTCTTTTTTTAACTTTTTTCCCGTTGGGTGGTTCTAGTTCTAGTATTCATTCG